TTCTCTTCTCTTCTCTTCTCTTCTCTTCTCTTCTCTTCTCTTCTCTTCTCTTCTCTTCTCTTCTCTTCTTCTCTTCTCTTCTCTTCTCTTCTCTTCTCTTCTCTTCTCTTCTCTTCTCTTCTCTTCTCTTCTCCTTCTCTTCTCTTCCTCTTCTCTTCTCTTCTCTTCTCTTCTCTTCTCTTCCTCTACTCCTTCTCTTCATATTATATTATTTCTAAATAAATTTATATTATCATTATCTTAATTTATATATAATCACTATATTTATATTTATAATACCATATATCTTATCTTTATCTCAATCACCACACATCAAACCACTTCACCATCACACACTTCCCAGGTAGAGGCGCCAGGTGAGTTAATGTGTTGCTTATAGTGAGGTAAGATGACAGTAAATTAGTTAATCAAGTGTAATTAATTATCTCGTGTGTGTGTGTGTGTGTGAAGGACTAATTGAGGGGACTAATTAACTGTGATAACGGACTAATTGTGCTGTTGGTGGTAATTAAAGACGGTAATAACGTGAATTAGGCTTTTATACTTTTCCTAGTGTTGTCCCTGGGGGGGAAGTTGTGGTCATCGGAGCTAGCCAGTGAGGTGCGACTTGGGGTGACGTGAGGAGAGGAGGAGGAGGAGGAGGTAAGGAGGATAGAAGGAGGAGGAGGAGGGGTAAGGAGGATAGAAGGAGGAGGAGGAGAAAGAGGAGAAGCAGCAGCAGCACGATGAAGAAGAAAAGGAGGAACACAGGAAGAAATTTAGAAATTCAAGAAAAAGGGGAGAAAGAAGGACGAAGAGGAGGAGGAGGAGGAGAGGAAGAAGTGGATAAGATAGAAGATTTTCCGGGTATATTCCCATGAAGAAATATATTATGGTGAAGGAGGAAGATTTACCACCATCATCACTGTCATCATCATCACCATCATCATCATCATCATCATCATCATCATCATCACTTATCACTATCATCATCATCATCATCATCATCTTGACTCAGTATACAGGGTTCGAGGTTTACTTAAGCAAGGGAATGTTTCTTAGAGCTGTTTGAGAGAGAGAGAGATGGAAGTCAGGTTAGGTTAGGATCGGTCAGGAGTCCAGAGGGCCAGTCGTCCACAAGGTTCCCCACTATGTGTGTTGGGAGGCGTCACCCACCAACTGTCCTGTGGTGTGCTGCAGATCCTTCCTACAGTGGTTGTTTGTCTGTTGAGGGAAGTAGCAGTATGTAGAGGGAGGGAAGTAGCAGTATGTAGAGGGAGGGAAGTAGCAGTAGGAGGGAGGAGTAGCAACAATAGGAGGGAAGTAGTAGCAGTAGTAGGAGAGAAGTCGCAACTGTTGGAGGGAGGGAGGGAAGTAGCAACTGTTGGAGGGAAGTAGCAACTGTTGGAGGGAAGTAGTAGGAGGGAAGGAAGGAGGGAGGAGGGTCGTGACAGACAACCCACTATAATCACCTGGTAATATAGACCGGAAATGGTGTAACACGTTCAAGAGATGCTTCTCTCTCTCTCTAAGTGTATGTAGCAAGGTGAGGTGGGCAGGGGAGGTAAGAGTGTGTGTGTGGGGGCAGGTAAACAAAGGGTTGGGTAGCGAGTGTGTTGTTTTAAAGGAGGGAGGAAGAAGAGAGAGAGAGAGAGAGAGAGAAAGGGAGAGAAAAGGATGGAAAGAAGAAAAATGATAAGACAAGAATGAGAGAGAGAGAGAGAGAATCAATTAACCTGGTGCCTGTATCAGCTTAAGGGTCACACCTGGCCAGTAGGATTTTAATGGCTACCTGTGTTGTGCTGTGTTGTGCTGTGCTGTGCTGTAGTGTGCTGTGTTTTGAAGTGTGTTATATTTTGTGTTGATTTTGTGTTATGTTCTATATTTTGTTGTACCCGTGTTGTGTTCTTACTGTGTTGTGTTAATATTATGTCGCGTTATGTATACCTGTGTCTTTAGTGGCAATCGTTCACACACCCTCTCATCAGTTTATCAAAGGACCAAACAAGGCATGAAACCACCATTATGATATTGTTAAGAAATATTACTCGGATGTCTTCATAGTTACAACACGTGTAGGGAAGTTTAGGGGAGTCATTCAGCGGAGGGCGTGTGGTTCTTTAACTGGTGGATGTTGATTGTGTGTGTGTGTGTGTGTGTGTGTGCATACTCTGAAAGGGAAGTACCTCGGGGAAATAAACTTGAGAATGGAAAGTCCCCTCTGTAAAAAAGTTGTTGAAAATGGAAAGTATCTCTGGAAGACTTACTCAAGGCAGTGTTCCAGAGCGGCAGTGACGTTGACTCCTTCCTAGAACACCTTCCCGGACACGGCGAGACTCGAGAGCTCTCCCGACCCTCAGGAAACTCACACATTCCACGAGTGACGAACGGGCTGACGCATTCCAGGTGTTGTCAGGAGGTGGCCGTCCGTCAGTAGTGGGTGCCTGAAGGTGACCAGACCTTCAACTTCTACCAGGGACTTACCGGCACTATCACCACCATCACCATTGTCTTCTCCTCACACACCGCAGACTTCCCTCCTTCCTTCTCCTCCTCCTTTACTCCCTCCTCCTCCTACACACACTACTGCTGGCCTAACACACACACACACACACACACACACAGATTAAACACTCAGACGAAACACATTAACATGACTTGTCTTTTCCTCTTGATTCTGACCACAAAGTGGGAAGTGACGCACAGTGATAAAGGAGAAATAAGAAAACTGAAAATAAGGAAGGAACGTGTAAATAAGAAGAGTAAATAATTGAAAAGTTCCAATAAATGACTTTTAATTCGTGTGGTGCCTCTGTTTACATATTGACTCTCGAATATTTTCAGTGGTAATGAGATCCTATTCTTGCGTGGTCTAGGGGAGTTTTTCAGGGTACTGGGGACCTGTTCTGTCATCATTCTCTCTCCCATATTCTCGAAGAAATATAAAACGTATTGGACACAAGGAAAACAAATGACGGTGTGTGTGAAGGGAGAATGGACTTAATGAGCTCTTTAGAATCAATGAGTTGAAAGTAAAGAGGCAGGAGCTGGTCAGTATTTATTGGACAGTAACAGCGCCTCCTCCTTATGGGGCGTGAGTGGATACTGGAGATATGGGTGGGTGAGGGAGGGGGTCTGAGAAGTGAGGGAGGGGCTAGGGATTAAGGGATGTGAATGGTGTGGGAGGGAAGTAAGGTGTGGCCTCCAGGACTCGCCCAGGTAAAAGTAAGAACATAAGAACATAAGAATGGAGGAAACTGCAGCGGGCCTATTGGCCCATACTGAGCAGTCCCATTTACACCCAACCCCTATTGCTCATATAAGAATCCAACCTATGTTTGAAGCTATTCAGCGTATTCGAATTAATGATGATATTTGGTAACTTGTTCCATTCATCCACTACTCTGTTTCCAAACCAGTGTTTACCTATTTTGCGCCTAAATCTAAATTTGTCTAATTTAAAACCATTGTTACAAGTTCGCTCCTGGTTGGATAGTTTGAGTACTCCGTTATATCACCTTTGTTCAGCCCTGACTTCCATTTATACACCTCTATCATATCGCCCCTCGCCCGTCTCTCGTACTCAAGGTTCCTACGCCTCCAGGTCATCTCCATCACAGGCCCCCCTCCAGGTCATCTCCATCACAGGTCCCCCCTCCAGGTCCTGCCAACTTGCCTCATCTCAGTCTGGTCATTACCTGTTTTTTTGTTCTACCTGTTAAGTCTTGGTTGTTAGGTCTCATTCAGGAGGTGTATTATGGTACTGTGTCAAAGGTGAGTTGTAGTGTGTGTGTGTGTGTGTGTGTGTGTGTGTGTGTGTGTGTGTGTGTGTGTCCAGCAGAGGAGGCTGAACTTTCTAGCCTTCACATGCCTACAATGGCGTGTAAGGTCTGTTTTCATGCTTGATATTGCGTGAGGAGGAGGAGGAGGTGGAGGAGGAGGAGGAGGAGAAGGAGGAGAAGAAGTAGGAATGGAAGCAGGAAAGGAGGAGGAGAAGGAGAAACAGAAGGAGAAGCAGGAGGAGGAAGAGTAGGAGAAGCAGAGGGGAGAGAGGAGAGGAGAAAGGGAAACGGAAGGAGGAGGAGGAGGAGGCCTGGCACATCTGTTGTCTACCTTAATGATGCAACTCGCCGTGACTCGCCAATTACCGCCACTACAAGGTCTGTTGAGTTACTGGGTCACCTGTGTGGGTGACCAGTGGTGTATGTGTGGGTGTGGATGACCAGTGGAGGAGGCCTGGCACATCTGTTGTCTACCTTAATGATGCAGCTCATGGCTGACTCGCCAATTACCGCCACTACAAGGTCTGTTGAGTGCTGGGTCACCTGTGTGGATGACCAGTGGTGTATGTGTGGGTGTGTGGATGACCAGTGGTGTATGTGTGGGTGTGTGGATGACCAGTGGTGTACGAGGGTGTGGGCGTGGAGACGTGTGGGCGTGGATATGAAGATTTAGGTTAATAAGTACTGCTATTTAAGATTGGGAAGCTCCATTACCATCACTCTCTCACCTAGGGGAGGTATGTGAGGGAGGAGGTAGAGGGAAGAAGGAAGATAATTAAGAGAGAGGGATAATAGCGTATTAGCGTGGGAATAAAGAAAGGAAAGAGGAAATAACGACAAAAACAATAATGCTGATGATGAGTATAGTGTCACCATCACCCCCATCATCCTTCTCTGTCGTCACCATCATAATGACGTCATCCATCATAATGAAACTACAGCGCTGTTATTGTTATCATTATACATCATTGTTAAAACATCCTAGTGTGATCTTTTTCTCAGCGCTGTTGTTATTATACTTATAAGGTAATTGAATTGTTAGGAGGTTGGGTGAGCTGAGTTTGTTTCTCTCTCTCTCTCTCTCTCTCTCTCTCTCTCTCTCTCTCTCTCTCTCTCATTATTTCCTATTGTTGAATCATCACTACTTGTCAATATTATTTTTGTAAACATATAGTCCGTTAAATAGAGGTTTCTCATATAACGGACACTGGGTATAACGGATTTTTCTCCCTCCTACAGGATGTGATGAGAGAAGGCACGGTAGAGGAGCTGATGAGGGGCCTAGCGTCTCAGTTGGCCGAGCAGGAGGACCATGTGTTGTGTTCTGACGTTCGCAACAAACTCTTCGGCCCCTTAGAGTTCTCCAGGAGGGACCTTGGTGGGTGGTGGTGGTAGTAGTAATGGTGGTGGTAGTTGTGGTAGTAGTGGTGGTGGTGGTGGTTGTGGTAGTAGTAATGGTAGTAGTGGTGGTGGTGGTTGTGGTAGTAGTAATGGTGGTGGTGGTGGTGGTGGTTGTGGTAGTAGTAATGGTGGTGGTGGTGGTAGTTGTGGTGATAGTGGCTGGTGGTGGTGTGTGTGTGTGTAGGTAGTGGTGGTGATAGTGATGACGGTGTTGGTTGTGGGAATGGTAGTAACATAGATAGATAGATAGATAGGATAAATAAACAGACACACACACACACACACACACACACACACACACGTCATCACTGTTCGCGACACTAGTTTCTTTACATCCTTCCTCCTGCTGTGTGTGTGTGTGTGTGTGTGTGTGTGTGTGTGTGTGTGAGTCAGTCAGTCAGTCATTACCTGTGTCTCACCTTTACAACTCATTAACTCATTTATTGCTCATAATACCTGTGTTTGTTGAAGGGAGATTAGTGTGTGAAGTGTGTCGTCACCAAGCAGCGCTGAGAGAGAGAGAGAGAGAGAGAGAGAGAGAGAGAGGTAGGTAGGTTCGACTCACCTGTTACACAAGGTTCTCACGTGTCGTTAATTGGTTTATTGATTTTTTCTTGATTTCTTGAGGATTGAAAGGGTTAAACCATCGTCCTTGGAGTTACACCAATGTTCTTAAAGAGTTAAACCAGTGTTCTGAGAGAGTTAAACCAATGTTCTTATAGTTAAACTTAACACTTTGGGTTAAATAGTCGTTCTTCCAGTTACAAGTGTAGACAGTGATAATATTGCAAGTTAACTCCTCCTTTGTTGCAACCGACCTTTTGTATAGCTAAGTACTGTCGCAAGTTAATCAGTGTTAACATTGCAGATTAATTATCATAGGAGTGGGTTAATAAGTTGATGTTGGCATTACAGGTAGATTAATTAGTATAAATTGCAAGTGAATTATAATTTATGTCAACATTATATATTAATTAACTAATGCTAACATGCTAGGTTAATTAGTTAGTACAGACACTAGGGGTTAATTAACTAATCCCGGGTAGTGACATATGATCTAACATCATTTAGATACCTGAGTCAAGTGTTAAAATGTTGTTATGTGTTTACCTTACCTTACAAACACTTAAATCCTGTATACCCCGTGATGGATGTCGTAGAATTGTTTATAAACACTGATTGCATGTTTAGACCCCAGAAGATGTCCTAGAAATGTTTATAAAGCATGTTTAGACTCCTCAGAGGATGTCCTAACGCCCTCTGTTTACCTCCACCAGGTGCCCTCAACATCATGAGAGGGCGAGACAACGGACTGCCAGACTACAACACCGTCCGTAAGTGTTTTCATCTGCCGCCTGTTGAGTCCTGGGAAACCATCAACCCCAAGCTGACCCAAGAGGAGCCTGACCTCATAGCCCGGCTCAAGGATTTATACCAGGACAACCTCATGAATATTGACCTGTGAGTGACCTCTTGTTGTGAGTGAGTGACCCCTTTTGAGTGAGTGGGTTACTTCTTGTTGTGAGTGAGTGACCTCTTGTTGTGAGTGAGTGACCCCTTTTGAGTGAGTGAGTGACCTCTTGTTGTGAGTGACCTCTTGTTGTGAGTGAGTGACCCCTTTTGAGTGAGTGAGTGACCTCTTGTTGTGAGTGACCTCTTGTTGTGAGTGAGTGACCCCTTTTGAGTGAGTGAGTGACCTCTTGTTGTGAGTGAGTGACCCCTTTTTTTGTGTCGTGACCTGTTGTGGGTGATGAGCCTATTGGTTGACTTCACATTCGGCCCCCTCCCTCCCTACCCCCCTGAGCCAAGCACACCTCCTCACGCCGCCCATTAGACACACAGCAAACATCTCTGACCGATACTAAAGACGTCATTGATGGGGTCCAGGGTCCAGCTGCGTCATCCCTGTAGTTTGATATTGTTGGGGAAATGTCGTTCAATTGGCATAGATGGCGTCACAGATGGGGTCACACACCTCCTCCTCCTCCTCCTCGCTGTAGTGTAGCATATCGCCGATGGGTCTCCTCCCTGCCGAGGTCCTCATCAGCGTGAAGAAAGTCCTCAGCGTTGCTTTACTGTACACTTATAAAAGACCATTTTCACTGACCATTCTTTCTATTATTACAGTAAAATGTCAGGAAGTGACTGGGGGCTTCCATTGACGGAGCTGGTCATTGTATATACAGTAGCTGGTGCCCGGCCTTTCTTCAGAGGCTCAAGGCCGCGCCAGAAAACATGGGTTGTTGGCGCGCGCTTTTGAGAGAGCGACCTCGTGTGGTCTGTTGCGTCACGCCCCGCCAACTTTCCCGCGCACCGCTGACTGGCAAACACTCCCCCCCCCCCTCTCTCTACCTCCCCGGGGGTACTCTTTCGTGTGTGTATGTGTGTTGTTGTAGTTCATTTTCTTTTTTTTTCTTTCACACCATAGTATAATGTACAGTTTACAGAGAGAGAGACTATTGTGTATGCTGTGGTTAGAATAAGACTAGTCATTAGACGCAGTGATTCTCAAACTGGGGTCCGCGAAAAGTTTTTGAGAAATAGTGCGTTTAAGTTTGTGAGTGATTTGGCGATTCCAATTTTGGATTTGGGTTGAAATGAACAAATGCTTTGGACTATGATTTATTCTTTGATTATTGACAATATTTGTATGCGTCATGGTATATAAAGGGTCCTTGGTTGAAAAAAGTTTGAGAACCCCTCCTAGAGTAAGACATATACACCCCCACCTGTGTACAAACTCTCCCCTGGGCATAAGACAGGTGATAGGTTCCAAAAAATAGGTGATTAGAGTTGGGAAGAGTGTAGTTAGTGTGGGAGTAATGTGATTGGTGGGTTAGGAGTCACACAGTATAGAGTTAATGATGGTGGTAGTGATGATGGGTGATGGTGGTGATGATGGGTGGTGGTGATGGTGGTGGTGTTGACACAGTATTCTTGGCAGTGGGATTAATTAAACAATAGGTATGTGGTAAAGGTAGTTTTGGCTGTGGTTTAGGTAGGGGTGGTGGGTGGTGGTGGCGGAGACTGTGGTGGTGACGGCTGTGGTGGTGGAGCAAGAAGGCAGTAGTGAAGAGAATTTCCTAATCAGAGGATGGTGGTAGTCGTTGGGGGGGGGGGTGGCCTACCTCCGTCTCCCCCTCCACACCCCCCCTCCCCCCCGCCCCCGGACCCCCTACTTTACGAGTCTGGGAAGGGTGCCGGATGCTCTGGGCTCCTTCACACCAGAGTTATGACACGGTAATTATGTGGGCGGATGTTTTAGCTGTGAGTTAACGTAGGTCATCGGCAGTAGTTCAGACCTGTGGCTGGTGGTTGTTCTCTCTCTCTCTCTCTCTCTCATGCACCTATAGCTAGCTATAGCGTTTATTTATACTACTTCACTATCTGTACATATATACACGCACACACACCCACACACACACTTACACATACATACATACATACATACATACATACACGTGTACCTATAAATGTCCTTTACCATCAGGTTTTAAAATCCTTGTCCGTTTTCCTGAGGTGGGTGTGTGTGACCCTGAAGTACAAGACCAAAGGCATCTCAGCCATATTAAACAGGACTAATTCATGTTTTTTCCTCATAAGAACACACAAACACACACACACACACACACACACACACACACACACACACACACACCCAACCATCAAGTTCTGTGTATATGTCTGTAGTTTTACCACCAGACTACATGAGAGGCATTCCAACCCCCCTTAAGAGACATTACACCCCCTTTAGTGACATTCCACCCCTTAAGACACATTCCTCTCCCTTAGATGCACTCCATCCCCCTTAACACGTGCCCAGGTAACCCCACTATCTGTCATACCTGTCAAGATAACTTTATAGTGTGACCTGAGTATCAGTATCGTGTTATTAGGGCGGTCAACCTCTACCTGTGTCTACCTGTACCTACCTGTGTCTCGTTAATTACTATGTTTTATCCAGGTAATGTAACTCGGGACCCATTAAGAACTGTGATGGTTATACCTGGTGTGTATTTTGCTATGATAATTCATGTATGTATAGTGGGGTGTGTGTATATGGTTTAAGGGTCACAGTGCCCATGGGTCAAAGGTCAGAGTGTTAGGTAGAGGTGAGATTCTCCTGGCGTGAGGTGTCAAGGGCGTGAGGTGTCATCTTATTCCTGCAGTTTGTGTTGTGGGGGATTTTTGGCTGTGCTGATCTTCTCTCCCCCTCCCCCCCCCATCATTTCTCCTCGATCTGCTGCTTCTCCTCTTCCTATCCTCTCCCCCTCCTTTTTCTAACCTCTTCTATACTCCTAACTTCTTCCCCATCCCTCCTCCTTCTCCCCCTCCTACCTCCTCTGCTCCTCCCGTGGCAAGCAGTAATTAATAAGGGCGTGCCTCACCTGACAGATACGTGGGCGGCATGTTGGAGACCCAGGACGGTCCAGGGCCGCTCTTCACCGCCATCATCAAGGAACAGTTCACCAGACTCAGAGACGCCGACAGATTCTGGTTCGAGAATGAGGACAACAAGTAAGTCCAACCTGGTGTTTTGCTTGGCACTCTTGCTGTGTTCTGTGGCACTGTTAATGTGGTCCTGTTGTGGCACTCTTCCTTGTATCATATTCCAGCTGTACCGCACACACTCTATGTCCCATACTCACGCTGTAGCACTCACACACTCACTCACACACTCACACACTCACTCACACTCACCAGCTCACCACCCCTTGCCCATCTCCTCCCACAGGATGTTCACGCCCGAGGAAATAGATGAGATCCGTCAGGTGAAGCTGTGGGACATCATCGTCAACGCCTCCGCCGTCTACCCCGACGAGATCCAGCGCAATGTGTTCTTTCACCTGGATACCGACCCCTGCCCTCAGCCAGCCCAGCTCAACACCAGCGAAATGGAACCCTGTGACTACCTGCAGGGCTTTGATTACTTCCAGGTAAGTCGACACTATTTTCTTCTCACCTGTAGCTACGTAGTGTGACCCATATATAGTGAATCGAGTACTTTATTAACGTATACGAACAGTGAATGTGAGGAAGAGGCTGCGTTTACCCTCGGCTTCGTCGCTTTAAACATTTTTGGCGGGGAAAGACTTGTAATGGTGACGCAAGAGGTCGAGGGTTTTACATGTCTTAATAATTTCACAAGTATTACGTATTATTTTATTGTAAGAAGATAAAAAAAATAGCAGGTGGTATTAATCCGGCCATCGATTGCTTAAAAAAAAACTGTTGTAACATTATATTAAATGATCAAGATAGGTGGAAAATGGTTGTGACGTGGAGAGATGTGATCGAGGCCAACTCAGCTATGACCTTTCGGGGTTTTCCATTCAAAAGAAAAAAAAATCCTTTTGTGAAATTTAGAGAGAGTAACCGCAAACAACCTGAGAGAAAAGAGAGACAAAAGCAAGGTTAGGTTAAGTTAGGTTAGAAAATACATCGTTAGTTGATCATTTTATTGTATCAACAACTCCAGAATGTACGGACAGAGAGCAAGCATTTCTGTGTTCTCCTCCCCCCTCTTCCCTCCTCCCCCCTCTTCCCTCCTCCCCCCTCTCCCTTCCCTCCCCCCTCTCCCCTCTCTCCCCCCCCTCCCCCTCCCCCTCCCTCCCTCCCAGGACGGTAAAGGACATTTAACACTATGAATCAGTTTGTTGCGGTTTATTTTATCTCGGCTTCCTTGATAACCAGCCAGCCAGGAACAGTTACTCCTCACCTGTGACTGTGGTTGGTGTGGTGTAGTCAAGGAGACGTGGAGGAGGAGTCACAACTTGAAGGTTTGGTTTGGCTATGGTTAGGTTATGGTTACGTTAGGTTCCTCATGACAAGTGTTAGGTTACGTTAGGTTTCTCATGACAAGTGTTAGGTTACGTTAGGTTTCTCATGACAAGTGTTAGGTTACGTTAGGTTCCTCATGACAAGTGTTAGGTTAGGTTAGATTCCTCAGGTAGGTACCCGGAACAATGCACCTGAAGTAGTTTTAAGAGATGACAAAAACTATGAGATATTTCCTCATAGAATCGCTTAAGATGTCTTAGTAATAGCTGGAAGAGACGGTTCATAACCTAACCTAACAAGAGGCATAGGGTAGTTAATCTTGTATTGGGATAGTTACTAGAGGTAGTTAAATGTGTGGAGAAGGTATGGCTGTTAGGGGAGGTTGGAGGTTATATTAAAAAGTAGCAGCAGTAGTAGTAGTAGTAGTAGTAGTAGTAGCAGCAGCAGCAGCAGCAGCAGCAGCAGCAGCAGCAGCAGCTGGAGGTCGTAGGCTAGGTAATAGGAGCAGGAGGTCGTCGGCGAAGTCGTAGCAGCAGTAGTAGTAGTAGGCCAGGTAGTAGTAGCAGCAGCAGCAGGAGGTCGTCGCCAGGGGGGGCATCAGGTGGGGTCGTCGGCGGAGATGAAAGTAGTGTGTAACCTTCACTATGTGGAAACTGTGGCGCCTCACTCACTCACTCATTCACTCACTCACTGACTCATTCATTAACTGTCTCTTCCCTGCACACTCATTGACTCACTCTTACCAACTGACTCACTCACTCACACACACGCACACACACTCGCTCACTCATGCTGTAGGTATTTATTTATTTCCGTATATTAAAAAAAATTGAGTTTATCGAAAATTTCATAAGTCATGTGAGAAGAAATCATTGAACCGTCTGAGAAATTGTGTTCACAGATGGATGCACAGACAGATGGACAAGAATAGGGAAAAATAGAAATGACAGACAGACAGACAAGCAAAGACACAGAGAAAGATAGAAACAGACAGACACAGAGAGACAGACAGACAGACAGACAGCAATACATGTTACTGTCACAACCTTGGTCTAGATGACATGGGGCACACCTGTGTATCATAGTAGAGAGCAGGTCATTGATACCTGTTGAAGGGGGGCAAGATGGCGTAGATTTGATGTAGAGACTTTAATAGGTTGGGTTAGGTTAGGTTTTGAATGAGGTGTTATGGTGATAATTAGTTTTTGATGGTTAAATTTAGTGTGTGTGTGTGTGTGTGTGGCATGGGTGAGGTAGTGAGGGTGATGAAACGGATAGCTAGAGGTGGGTTAGAGTGTGTGGTTGGGTTAGGTGATGAAATGATGTTGGATTGTGGTGAAAGGAGTGTGAGTGGGTACGTGGGTGTGGGTGGATATGGGAAGTGGGTGTGTTGTGTGATGCTCCAGGCGGTGTGGGGTGGTGTGGGTCAAGGTCGAGTACTACTGCTCTCTCATACACGCACGCACACACACAGGCACGCACGCACACAGGCACGCACGCACACATACCTCATCAGACATACTCTCAGGTAACTATGTCTTAACTGTACGTCTTATAGATATTGAGGTGATGAGTCTGGGGAAGGGGTAGTGATGGGCGTAGTGTGTGGGCGTGGTTAGCATGGGTGTGGTCATGGGTACTTGTGGGTTGTGGTGGCGTGGCAGGCGCGTGTGTTGCCCAAGTAGTTAGTACCAGGTATGACCAGGCGGAGCTACAAGTAATGGGGGAAAAAGTAATGGTTATATGAAGGCAAGACACACCTGTACCTACCTGGCCCCCCCACACACCTGTACCTACCTGTCCACCACACACACACCTGTACCTACCTACCTACCTGCCCACCACACACACCTGTACCTACCTACCTACCTGCCCCCCACACACACACACACCTGTACCCCTGCCCCCACCTGCCTCCCCCCACACACACACACACTGTATCTGCCTGCCCCCCCACACACACACACACCTGTACCTACCTACCCCACCACACACACACACACACCTGTACCTACCTACCTGCCCACCACCACACACCTGTACCTACCTGACCCCCCCACACACCTGTACCTACCAGCCCACCACACACCTGTATATATAGAGAAGAGCCTCGTAGCATCAGCAATCAAACCATCACCTGAAAAACTCACCTGGAGGATTGACACGAAAGTCCTAGTGTGAGCCTTCCTGTCTCCGGTGCCTGTCTGTCTACCTGTCTGTTTGTCTGTCTGGGTCGTGTTACTCGGTCAGTGTGTTAAGTAAGGTCTTCACTCAACCCCGATCATGGCTTTGGTTGTGTTAGGTTAGGTTTGGTAGGGGGTGAGGAGAGAGTGAGGGGGTAGGTAGGGGAGGGGGGGTAGGGGGTGATAGATATCTTGAAGGTGGTGTTTGGTTTAATCGTTCATGTTGTGTAGTTGAAGATGAGGATAAAATATTGCGCATGGGATAAAGAATGCGCAGGTATAGAAAAAAACTGCGCAAAATATATAAAAATACACGAGATGGGAAATGGCGCAGATGTAGAACTAGTAATAAACTGTGCAGATATACAAAAATATACTGCGCAGATGTAAAAAAAATAATAATAAACGGCGCTGATGTAAAAAAAACATAACCTGCGCACATGTACAAAAATAATAAACTGCGCAGAAGGTGAGGCAGTGCAGGAGTAAGTTTATATATATATATATATATATATATATATATATATATATATATATATATATATATATATATATATATATATATATATATATATATATACACAAGAAATAAACCTGTATCTTTTAGTTCCAGATGAGTGTTTTTTTGCGGAGGCGGGATATAGTAGCTTTTTATACTGGAGGTTAGTCTGTCTGTCTGTCTGTCTGTCTGTCTAATGGACGGGTAGTGAAAGTGAACACCGGCCTGACCATTTAACCAGACTGTACACTTAAGCTTGAACATCCATCTAGCCTGGGGTGTGTGTAGGGGTGCTGGAGGTGGGTGTAGGGGTGCTGGGGTGGGTGTAGGGGTGCTGGAGGTGGGTGTGGGGTGCTGGGGGTGGGTGTAGGGGTGCTGGAGGTGGGTGTAGGGGTGCTGGGGGTGGGTGTGGGGGTGCTGGAGGTGGGTGTAGGGGTGCTGGGGGTGGGTGTAGGGGTGCTGGGGGTGGGTTTAAGCCAGTGTACTTAACGACTACACCAAGGCGGGAAGCTTAGTGGGCCGTCAGCAGGGGGTGTGTAATCTGACCCATAGGTGTTTGTTTACTGTCTGTGCCCCTCCTCCCCCCACTGGCCCACCAGGTGTACCCGTGGCTCATTACCTGGAGGTTACCTGGCACTCCTCCTCCCTCACCACAAGTACCTCTCTGTCTAACAAGGTCGTCTGACTATGGCTGTTTGGGCTACGTGCTGATGACCCTGGCTGCCATTACCACACATTCCTTGTATTTTATTTTTTTTTATCTCCCGCAAGTGAGATTCGTGGGGGGATATAGCAGTGACTGTATGTCTGTCTGTATTAAATTTGGTTTCCACTGTATAACTGTTCATGCACACTCTTGGTTTGAGTTGTGGTTGTGAGTGTTGTGACAGGTGTTGCTCAGGAGTGTTGGTGGTTCGGGTAGTTTTACAGTCATAGCCTTGTAGGGGAAGGAGGGGGGGGTTGGATGCGCCCTGTCCAACAGCTCGTTTTAAAATGTTTAAAAAAAATTCTTGTAGTGATTGTCCATTTTAGAGTTTTGAGTGTGTGTTGAAATGTTTCTGATATTTGATACACACACACACACACACGCGCGCGCACACAGCCACACACACACACACACACAGGCACATGCACACAGCCACACACAGGCACAGAAACACACACACAGACAAACACAGGCACACACACACACACACACACACACACACAGGCACAGGCACACACAGGCACACACACACACACACACACACACACACAGAGTTGAAGTCATTGTTGTATTCATAAAGACAAAAACTGGTAATAAGATGATGTATAATTCTGGAGGCGCTACAGACAGGTTTAAGCAGGTCAGTATTGGCCGGTGAGCTGACAGTGTGTAGGTCAGCCACACCCTGTGTACCCACTCTGTTGAGGTCATCTACTACACCCGCTGAGGTGGAGGTGTGTAATGGTGGCTACTTATCAAAGCAGAGGAGTTTAGTCTGATACACTTTTCTTAATGTGTGTGTGTATTTGTTTAAGTTTTTTGTGTGTTTCTGTTTGCATATGTGTGTTTGTTTCAGGTTGTGTGTGTGTGTGTGTGTATGTATGTATTTATGTATGTATGTTTGTTTCAGGTTGTATGTCAGTTTGTATGGGTGTGAGGGGGAAGGGGGGGGGGGGTGTAGCACCGCAATGGCAGCACCACCACCATTAGCCACCACACCATTGTTCTCGTGTGGGTGAAACTGCCAACCACGTTTGTCTCTGGTTGACGACCTTCATGAACTAACTGGTGGATGTTGTCTTTAGCTCCTGAGGGACAGTACTCACACCTATGACGATGGTTTAACTCTTTGACGATGATGAATTAAGCCTTCATCGTCACCACGTCAGAGTATAATAAGAGATGTGCTCCTTGCCCTCGTGTGTGCTCTGTCCATCTTGCTTAACCTAACCTATCATTCACTGATCCGTGTGTTCTGTGGTCTTGCCTGTAGGGGTCAGAGGTGACATACATCTACTCCTGTATCCTGCTGGCCGCCGTGCCCCTCATCTGTGCAGGCGCCGGCTATGCCACCGTCAAGTTCCAGAACTCCCGCAGGAGACAAATCCTGACCAAGCAGGAGGAGAACAACAATGGCCGCAGCAGTGACAAGATGATGGTGAAGGAGTGGCTGCATCAGGTAAGTCTCACACTCTGTTTGTTCCATCAGCCATAACCTTTATCTCGTGGACCTTATCTCTGTGGAACCTCTTGTCAGTCGTTCACAAGAGGATGCCTGGCACCTCACTATATCATATATTATTATACAATATATCCCGGTGTACTGATTCATGAAAGGTCTTGTACAAATTTAATCTTACTCTTCTCTGTCTTCCTCAGAACCACAAGCGCATTGTTAAGGTGAAGTTTGGTCCTAACCAAGAGATATCAACAGTGAACAGGAAGGGGGAGAAGATGCGTAAGGTGTCTCTAAAAGGCGTAGACAACCTGATGGTGGAGATCACGCAGGACCCCCGCAGGAAACTCATGGTTCTCGTCCGCCCCCCCAAGGACCATGACCTGGTGCTGGAGTTTGACACTGAAGCAGCACGGCGCAAGTTTATCAACAAACTGGAACAGTTCATGAACTCTCTTAGGAAGACCGTGGAGAAGGTCAACACCTATAAGGAACAGATGTTGGCCAACGCTGAGACCAAGGAGCGCCGTCAGAAGCGTCTGGAACAGTTCTTCAGGGAAGCTTATGAGCTCACCTTTGGCCTCAAACCTGGCGAAGAGAAGAGGAAGCTGGAGGAGACAGACAGTGATGTGGTCATGGTGATGCGAACATCTCTCTCCAAGAAGGAGTTCGCTGAAGCTCTGGGGATGAAGTCGGACGACATCTTCGTGCGGCGCATGTTCAACATCGTAGATAAGGACGGCGACGGACGTATATCCTTCCAGGAGTTCCTCAACACCGTGGTGCTCTTCAGTAAAGGCACAACGGACGACAAGCTGCGTATTATTTTCGACATGTGTGATAACGACCGTAACAACGTGATCGACAAGACTGAACTGTCCGAGATGTTGAGGTCCCTCGTGGAGATCGCCAAGACCAACACCGTCAGTAACGAGGAGGTGAGTCACTCGGACGGTCAGGCTGATGAACCCTTGTGGTGACCCCTCAGGCAGGCTACAGTAGGGGTCAAATGGGTACCAGTTCTAATCTAACCATTGAACGAATTGGATTAACACTTGGGCCCATTAGGATCTGACCTTAGTCCTTATGATTAGGTTAGTTTAGGTTGAAGCCTCTTAGAACTGAAGCTGTTACAAACTCCTCGTACTGTGTGTTGGGGGATCACGGTGTTGTAGCTTCACTGAATCTAGATAACAAGTGAATAGAGGTGATGATGGGTGGTAGTGGTGAGATGGTGATGGTGTGTGATAGTGGTGAGGTAGAAGTGATGGTGGGGGTGGTAGTAGTGGTGAGAAGGTGATGTTGGTGGCGATAAGGTGGTGGTGTTGATGGTAGTGGGTGGTAGTAATAATAAGAATATAGTGTTGATGTAGGTGGATGGTTGTGGTGAAGAGGCGTCGAGTGCTCCACCACACTCACCTGTTATACTAAGTGGTGCCATAGCTTAGAGTCAGGTGTGTGGGGTCCCTCGTACCTCCACTTGAGTCATTTCTACGCTGTCTTGCGGTGAGAGACCCATTATATATACCCTGCAGGAGGACTTTCCCCTTCAGGTATTACAAACTAGTACTATTACTGTAATGCTTCTTGGTATTTATTCACTATGACCACACAGTCAGAGAAACAAGGTGGTGATAGGTTAGGTTAGATGTGTGTGTGTTTATGAGTACTACAGTGTAGATTGACCTTGTGTTGCGTGTTACAGGTGGAGGATCTTATCGACGGGATGTTCAGCTCTTCAGGCATAGACCACAAGGAGTCACTCACCTACGACGATTTCAAGCTCATGATGAGGGAGTACAAGGGTGACTTCATTGCCATTGGCCTCGACTGTAAAGGTGCCAAGCAGAACTTCCTGGACACCTCTACCAATGTTGCCAGGTGAGTTGTAGAGTCAATTTTAAAGGTCAGGTAGGAAGTGAGTTAGATTCCTACAGGGGGAGGAGGGATGTCAGAGGTCAAGGCTGTGAAGTGTGTGTGTGTTGATGTCGACTCAGGTTAATGAATGGGTCAGAGGTGAAATAATGTCCCAGCGGGGTTAATTAAAAAGGTATCTGTCTGTCTGTCTGTCTGTCTTCCTATCTCTCACCCCCCTCCCTCTCCACCACCACCAGAAGGTTACATCATCGGGAGTTCTGACACCCTCTTCCTTACTTGTGCTTTCCCTCATCATTCTTCATCAGAACTTCCTCTTTCTTCCTGTCTCTATTTCCATCCTCAACTCTCCCTGCTCTAGCACGAGATGTTCAGAAGATAGAATTGAAGATTAGACACCTCAGCTTAATCTTATTTGATGATTAAACACCCTAATCTAACCCAACTAGACCTGACCCAACCCAACCCAGGTATAGTGTTTGGATGCATTTTAATCAACAGGTAAAACTAAACCGAGTAGTTAATCTTCAGATGATTCGTTCAGCCTAATGTAAGAGTGTGTGTCTGTCTGTCTGTGTGTCTGTCTGTGCCTGTCTGTCTGTCTGTGTGTCTGTCTGTGCCTCGGTAGCACAGTGCGAGGGGGTTAATAGTGCGAAATAATTTTAGGTTAAGATACATTTAATACCTTTAGGATAAGAAATATTTAAGGTAAGAAGCCTTTAAAGATAAGACTCCTTTAAAAAGCTTTTAAGAAACCTGTAAGATGAGCCCTTAAGAAGCCTCTAGGATAAAAAGCCTTTAAGGTGGAGTACACTGTTCAATGCTTAAGCTTCTCTCATTCACAAAGCTTCTCCCCCACTCTGCAAAGCTTTTCCCCTACTCTGCAAAGCTTCTCCCCCACCACCCCACAAAGCTTCTTTTATCCCCAGCCCACAAAGCTTATCTTCCCCACCCTGCAAAGCTTCTCCCCCACCCCATAAAGCTTTCCCACCCCCACCCTACTTCCCCAAGCCCCCCACCCCATAAAGCTTCCCCCCCCACCCCATAAAGCTTCCCCCCCCCACCTTCCCCACCCCATAAAGCTTCCCCCCCACCCCATAAAGCTTCCCCCCGCCCCCCTCCAACCCGATGATAAAAACCCCAGAACCGTAGCCTAACCTAACCAAATAATTGCCAAATTTAACCTAACCCAAGTTAATCTAACCCAGTATAAGCCCCCCAGGCCCCATTGTGGGTCGTTTGACCTGTGCCCGGTTGGGTTAATTCCCGTTAAAAAAAAACCTAACCTAACCTAATGTAACGCAAATTAACCTAACCTAAAATAGTGTAACCTAACCTAACCCATTCCTAACGCTTCCCTCCTGCCTGTCTATTTGTCTGTCTGTCTGTCTGATGCTGGCACTTACACCACTGATGCTGCTGCTGCTGATGATGATGATGCTGACAACATCCTTCCCCGGCTGACACCACCTTGTGCTGACCCCCACTAACACGCCAGCAAGAGGTATTATGGTGCTGCATGTGGTCTGTAGGTCATGCAATTGATGTAAATACTACTACTGTTATTACTACTACAAATACTACTACTACTAATAATAATAAGTAATGGTTTGGTGAGAGAAAATAGGAACAAAAGGCTGAAAATACACAATAGACAGAGATAACATAGTGTGTGTGTGAGATAGTCAGGTTCATACTGTGCCTCAATATGTAACTATCAATGTGTGCATGTTATCATCATCATCAGTCAGGCAGGACCGATGTCTGCTGGAGGCACAGGAGGAGGGGTGTTACTTAGGCGTAGTTGCCACTCAAATGCAGCAGTTGTCATATATACATACTTGTCATACACAGCAGTAATAGTTGTCATACACATACACACACACACTCATAACTACAGTTGACAAGTACACACTGTTGTCAAGGCAATGCACCTCAGAACACTTAAATCTTGTTATAGTATATTGTGTGAGCATTTGTGTCTGTGTGCTTGTGAATTGGAGTAAGTAGCCAGAGCACTCGGTTGGTCAGCTTAACACCCGGGGAACTATTAATCTTTGCAATTTTCTCAGGTCTTTATAACAGCCTTACCCTCATCCTCTCTCTCTCTCTCTCGTGGGTGTTGCTTTCATTATTTATTCCACTTTTGTTATTTTTCAGCAAGTCGAACATAAAGATTATTATTTTATCCTTACTCAACAGAACCTCCAACTGTGAATGGAAATTTGTCGCTGCAAAATGTAAAAACTTGTTATGTTAGGCTTGTGAATGTTATTATTATCCTTATTGTTATTATTTATTATTGGCATTCATAGGTAATGTTCCAAGAGATGACAGAGACATTATAAAAGTTATGTTTAACTTCTGTAGAATGACTAATGTTGATTTTCCAGTGCAAATTGTAATCCTGAAAATTTTTAGAGTGAAAGGCACTATAATATCTTTGTAACTTTATTTTAATGTAGATATAATAGAAGTTTTGTATAGTAGTTAATTTATAAAGTGTAATTTCCCACCCTTTCCCCCCTCTACAAAACTGAATGTAGGACGTTTGGACCATGGACATTTGGTGTGGGCCAGGGTGGTTAGGACCTAATCTAACCTACCCTAACTTAACCTAACCTAACTATGCCCAAATGCCAGCTCACCTGTAAAACCTGGTAGAGGGATAAAAGACGATAAATGGAGTTACTGTACTTGAGGCATATATTTAAGTCATACCTAAATCTTACTAATAAACCTACACCACACCCCCACCAGGATGACCAGTTTCCACATCTCTGAGAACCGGGAAATATACCATCACTGGATGTTCAAGAAGTACAATTCTATCGCCACCTTCCTGGAGGAGAACCGCCAGAATGTGTTCTATCTGTTCGTCTTCTACGTCATCACCATCGCTCTCTTCTGTGAAAGATTTATCCGTAAGTATTGCTCTGGGGTGTGTGTGGGGGGTGGGGGGGTTGTGATGTGTGTGAAGAAGGGGGAGGGAGATTAATTACTGATATAAGGAATTGACTCATGAACTTAATCCAACTCTCGTGGTCAACCTTCAGATTACTCCTTCATGGCTGAGCACACTGACTTACGACACATCATGGGGGTCGGCATCGCCATCACCCGAGGAGCCGCGGCATCCCTCTCCTTCTGCTACTCCCTCCTGCTGCTCACTATGTCCAGGAACCTCATCACTAAGCTCAAGGACTTCAGCCTCCAACAGTACATCCCCCTCGACTCCCATATACAGGTTGGTGGTGTGTGTACTGAGATTTCACCATTAGTAGCTGTGGTTTGTTAGCATTTATTAGAGAAAGAAATTTGTCAACTAAATCTCTGAGAGTACAGGCCCAGTCCATACTGAAATAAGTGGACTTATACTATTAACAACATTTGTATAAAAGCTCTTTACAAATACTATATGACATTTTCATCTGCCTCGTGCTTGTCTCGTCTTGCCTCTAAGAGTAATACACCACAGGAGTGCACCTAAACAAAGAATATTTACAGTATAGGAAGAAGGACACCATATAATATTCTGTTTAATTCTTTATTTGTATTAGTACAGTACAGGACAGTACTTCTGTTGGTAGTTATGATCACTGTTTTATAGTATGGTACTGTACTGTAATGCATACTTCCTGTATATTGTGGTATACATTTTATAAAACATTGATGATCAGTATTTTATGATCAGTTGTACTAATATCACAATTTCTCCGTCAGTTCCACAAGATAGTAGCGTGTACAGCCCTCTTCTTCAGTATCCTACACGCCTGTGGTCACTTGGTGAACTTCTACCACGTGTCGACCCAGCCTGTGGAGAACCTGAGGTGTCTCACCCAAGAGATTGCCTTCGCCTCCGATCAGAAACCCACTGTTGGTTATTGGCTCTTCCAGACTTTAACTGGTCAGTATACAGGGTGTTGATATAGTTTTGTATCTGTTAGTGATTGATATTCCTTCTTGCAAGACTTTTTTTTTATTGTGGAGCTGAATGACCAAAATCAGGAGCAACTCGATCTTTTAAACTTATGTCAACAGTTGTGTTGTACAGGCTAACTTACCTCAGTACAGTACAGTGTTCCTCTCACACAGAAATATATCAGTGTGGTTTACCTATGTCACTTTGTACAACACATACTCTTACCACTTTTATCCTGTTCACCACTGATCAGCTCATTCTTGTGTATTTTGTAAATGTGAATACTGTACTGCACTGTAATCTTTTTTTATATAACTTTTTTGTAAAGTAGGTTATGTTTTCCATCAAATTAGATAAATTACTTTTCTATCTAATTGTTGGTGTGGTGTAATTTAATACAGGAACTTACAATTTTTCCAGTGTTTCATTATTATGTGTGTGTTTCTTGCAGGAGTCACCGGTATATTGCTGTTTATCATCATGTGCATCATCTTCATCTTTGCTCATCCGATGATTCGTAGGAAGGCGTACAAGTTCTTCTGGGCGGCTCACCAACTGTACATTTTCCTCTATATCCTCAGTCTCCTACACGGTCTGGCCCGGCTGACTGGAGCGCCAAGGTGGGTATCTGACAGTAATTTAAGATTGGAATTAGATGTTGGTGATATACATACACTTGATTCATTGTATACACTCAATGGATAAAAAGAATTGAGATATGGGAAACGTTTTATTTATTTATTTCGTTAAGTGCTTATATAAGATTTTGTTGAAAATCTCAGTATAGGTACTCTTGAGCATGCTGAATCTGAATATTTGGTTTACGACTCGATTGCGGGGTAATTAGTGGTTGTAATGACGTTTAGAACATTTTAATTGATTTTTTTTAATGCTAATTACAGTTCTCGCCAACAATGGGCTTCCGAGTTGCGATTTTGATGTTATTCTGGAAGTACTTAATGTGTATTATTATATGGTGTTACTGTACTTTCTTCACTTGTCTCACACCTTTTCTCATATTTTTCCTCTCTTTATTTAGGTTTCTGTGCCACATGATCCACTTTTTACAAAACAGGAAGATAAATAAAAATAATGGATAATCAGTATACAGTAGAGATAGATAATGGTATAGAGTTTCTTATAGTTAATCTTCCTAAGGTTCAACACGTGATATTTTGTAATTCTAACCATTCACATATGTAGTAAGTATTTACCTTCTTACTATCATATAGTACATAACCAGTATACACTCACTAAGGTAGAGGGAGGAGGGGGGGGAGATGTAGGACGTTTGGCTTTGGTCAGGGTGGTTAGGGCTAATTTAACCTGACCTAACCATGGTCCAAACTTCCTGTCACCGATTAAAAGCCATTGCAGGGTATTATTGTAACTTAGTCATGATAAATCTTCAGTTCGTATTTAACATCTGATTGACATTGTATTCTTTAGTTTTCGGTCCAGAGTTCTGTAAAGTTACGTATGTCGTCGATTCTTACAGGTTCTGGTTGTTCTTCATCATCCCAGGCATCATCTATACCCTGGACAAGATCATCAGTCTCCGCACCAAATACATGGAACTGGATATTATCGAGACAGAGCTGCTGCCTTCTGATGTAGTGAAGGTCAAGTTCTACAGGTGTGTTGAGGAAACTTTATATTTTGTAATTAACTGAAATGATGTTGTTTTAGTTGTAAACCCTCCCAATACCAGACTAGTTCTTGTAAGCCCTGTCCATTATTGGGATGTTTCTGTTAATGAGAATATCCAGTAATAAGGAGTCTGTTATTGAGAGGGTTTATTATAGGTGGTTGATGGTTTAGGTTTCTTGTGTAGATGGTCTGGCTGGTGCAATGTTTGGGTGGAACAAAATTAATCACTAATAATATCCTTCTTGGGGGGGTTCATGAATACAGTTTGTTTCATTATTCTTTCAAATTAAATATCCTTTAGAACCCTTCTGTATAGCCAACAACTAGCAGGACAAAACCATCCCACCCTGAGAATCATACCGGGTGACATCGAGTCCTCATTTTGACACTGATACATTTAAAAAATCCTCAGAATGGAATAAGTTGCGAGACGTTTTGACATTATTATAAATTTTCACATTTCAATGTCGTCCATTAACGTCATACACTACCTGTCTGGTGGATGAACTGCACTAAAGACACAACCAGTGGAAAGAATTGCCCATAGAGGGAATGTTGCCAATGTAGCTCATCACAGTAATAAATGGTTAACCAAAAGTGCAGCTGATACCCACTGTGATATTGTCCTTCTCAGGCCGCCAAACTTCAAGTACCTCAGTGGACAATGGGTGAGACTATCGTGTACAGCCTTCCGCCAGTCAGAGTACCACTCATTCACTCTAACTTCTGCACCCCATGAGAACTTCCTCTCGTGCCACATCAAAGCTCAGGGTCCTTGGACGTGGAAGCTTCGAAAGTTCTTTGACCCACACAACTACGTCCATGATGAAGAGAATCCTCCCAGGGTAAGTTGGCTCCTACTCCACCTACTGTATACTTATTTAAAACCCATTTATTTTTGCAGAACTTTTAACTTTGCATAAATTAATGCTTATTTGTTATAGAGAAAGTTAATCTACAGTCAGTGGACACATATATAAAATCCTCTCTTTAGATTTTTATAATAATTTAATATATCATTACAAATATTGAATGATCTCCCTGACACTCTGATACTGTACAGGGTAGGGTGTCTTAGTCCCTATCATCCATGTCTTGTATCATACAATTATAGGTTTTTGAAACTGAAATATTTTTATCAGAGTATACAGTACAGTACAGTGCAGTGCAGTGCAGTGCAGTGCAGTGCAGTACAGTACAGTACAGTACAATGGAGTACAGTACATTACAGTACAGTACAGTGCAGTACAGTACAGTACAATGGAGTACAGTACATTACAGTACAGTACAGTACAGTACAGTACAGTACAGTACAGTACAGTAATAGTGAAGTGAGGTTCTTCAACACATTAAATACTGTATTAATGTTACCAGTCTGTATTGATCTGTGTAATATTTTGTTAATGTTTGTACAGTAGAATGTTATTAATGGTATACAGGACTTCTATCATATATTAAAGTAGTGTCCATTATTTAACAGATTCTAATTTTATGTTGTTAAAACAAATCCTTTGGCCAATGTCCTATTAATTAAAGCCTCCAGTATTGGAATAATTACATATGTACAGTGATGTAAGTAGGTGGGCAAGGTTTTTGTTCATTAACTTATTACTGTATCAATATAGTACAGGTATGAAGAAGTACTATATGTGTACTGTACTGCATACCCAATAGAACAAAGAGGAAAAAGTCTCACTCTTCACAGATTCGTCTGGAGGGACCATTTGGTGGTGGCAACCAGGACTGGTACAAGTTTGAAGTGGCAGTCATGGTTGGAGGAGGTATTGGGGTCACGCCGTATGCCTCCATTCTTAACGACCTTGTGTTCGGCACCTCCACAAACCGATATTCTGGAGTGGCTTGTAAAAAGGTTAGCAACCATGTTTCCTGAGTTTACTTTCCAATGTTGCTTACTGTTTATAGATCAGGGACAAAGGTATCAAGTATGTATACAGTGACATCTTGTGCAATATCTGTACCCGATGGCTGACATACATCCATCTGACTCTTTTTCCATTCACAATTCTTACTAAGTTATTGAGATGTTTCTTGGTAAGTGCTAATAGTCATTTGATATATTTTGTCTCCTGTAAAAATTATTTTTGACTCAGAAAAGTCCTAAAACACTGTTAACATAAAGATTTCTATTGTAATTAAAATAGAATGATATGTAAGCTTCAGGAAAACTCGTGTGCTGTATTTTATGGTATGGTATATAAAGTAGCATCATTTTCTAAAGTATCCTTCTCTTGGTAACTATTTTCATTCTCCTTATAGGTGTATTTCCTGTGGATCTGTCCGACACACCGGCAGTTTGAGTGGTTTATTGACGTCCTGCGAGATGTTGAACGCAAGGATGTAACAAATGTATTGGAAATGCACATTTTTATTACTCAGTTCTTCCACAAATTTGATCTTCGCACTACTATGTTGGTAAGTGAGATGTCATTTTACTGTATAGTATATGCTTATTTTAGGCCAATTTTGGGGAATATCAAAGTGTTAAAAGGTTTTCAATACAGTGTACTGTATATATTTTTTATCATTTATTGCAGGCTAGTGCACAGGCATTACAGTGGTTTCTTAGACTTACAGAGACCATCACTTGTGGTTACATGATTCTCATGTAGGAGTTACTGTCACACCCAATTCAACACTGCCATACAAACACTTTGGGATACAACACAAAGAATGTTCAGCTTTTTAACTGTATTACACCTGTGTTTAATGTGAAGTACTGTATAGGTGACAGTAATATCATTCTTAATAAGTTAACAACTAAAACAGACAATATTGTCGTCTGTACAACCATTATAAGTGAACATGATGATATACTGTATAAGGGCACCAGGCTGTGTATTAGTTGTATTGAGTTTTGTACAGGTATACTCAAATCTGATACAATAGCAAGAACATTAATATTTCCAGTAAATATTTAATAGTTACCAACACTTAGCTTACTACTGAAAATATGTTTTTATAGTGTAATTCATTGCGCTATATACAAATATGACCTTCATTATCATAAGGAATGAGCTGTTATGATTAAAAGAAGTGGAGGGTAAAAAATACAGAAGGCTGACAAACCATACCTAACCTAATTAGGGAGGGCTCCAGGCCCCTGGACCTCCTGGTGTTAAAAATAACATTATAAGTACTCCAGAGCATGCTGATTTCAAATATATAGTCCACGATTCGATTGTGGGGTAATTAGTGGCTGTAATGACCCTTGGATAATTTATTTACATTTTTCAATGCTAATTACTCGCCAACTATGGGTTTCCAAAGTACGATTTTGGTGTTAATGTGTTTTTCTGTAAGTACTTAATTAGTTAAACCCTTTAAATTTCAATTCTGTGAAAAAAGTACTTACAGAATAACACATTAACACCAAAATCGTACTTTGGAAACCCATAGTTGGCGAGTAATTAGCATTGAAAAATTTAATTAAATTATCCAAGGGTCATTACAGCCACTTGAATGAGAAAGTGGTGCAGTATGGTGTCTATAATCTTGTGTGCTTCAAACACCCTATGACACCAAGGCTTTGGTGTCATTTCCCAGCAAATTGGGTGTTTTGGTCAGCTAAGGGTATATATAGCCTTGGTGTCATTTGGGTGTTTGAGGCACCCAAAATTTTCTTGGGTACTAGAAACATACATTTTCTGCGTGTGCCCCTGGACTCTCACGCTGATTGGCCGAGTTAGACACAATTGCTGGAAAATATAATTATAAAATATAAAAATTAAAATACAGTATAGTAACTTGAAAACTGTGAATTTCTTATGGAAGCACTATAGAATAAATATATTTTTCCTCTATCTCCCTATAGAAGACTCAGTATATAAGTAGGTGTTGGAAGTTACAACATATTAACCATAGTGCATTTCTTCATCCTTGTTCTAAGAAGGTTGCTGCAATAGTGAGTATTAAGTAACATAATTAATTGTTCATTTATTCATTACAACTTATTATGTCGAAATTGTATGGTGTCACCATCAACTTGTGTTGTGGTACCTGTAGTGTAAATGAAGGCAACCAATGCATATTGTCTTTAAAATGATGACAACAAGAATATTATTCATAACTGTACAGTAATACAACTTCATCTTTTCAGTATATTTGTGAGAATCACTTCCAGAAGCTAAGTAAACGCAGTATGTTCACGGGGCTCAAAGCTATAAATCACTTTGGCCGACCTGACATGACATCGTTCTTAAAGTTTGTGCAGAAGAAACATAGTTACGTAAGTATTAGGTTCCTCACAGCACTGTACGCTGCTCTTATTGTCAACATTATTGTTTCTTCATTTATCTACTGCCATAAATGCATATCATTTGAATAGCATATAGGAAATAAATGAATAACTTTTGTGGTGTAATGTATGTTTTACCAAATCGAATAATTCTATATCAATATGCAGTGGTTTTAAAATTTTAACAATACTCTTTCTTCGCCATATTAATATTCTAATAACTTTCACAGGTATCTAAAATTGGTGTGTTCAGTTGTGGTCCCAACCCACTCACAAAATCTGTCAGCACGTCCTGTGAGCAAGTCAACCGGGGTCGTCGTCTCCCATACTTCATCCATCACTACGAGAACTTCGGCTAAATATGTATCCAATCTCACCTTGGGGGTCTACAATAATCTGTACTGTAGATCTATCCTCTCCTCACTAGCTTAAATAACCTACTTTACCCACCTTAAATACTGCTACTTTATCTTGCTACTCCGTGTAATGTATTTTCTTTATAAATCTCTCTTGATCTGATAATATATTTGCTCTCTGCGTCTCTCACATTACTTCTCAGTGTCCTTGCACCAGACTCTCGCATACCCTAAGTGAGCATTTACTCACAATATGACTAATGGTGGTTGTAACAAATTAGAACATGCAATTTTTATTAGTCTCTATAGTGCATATACCTATCCATAGTGCATATCTTCAACTGAAGTCTGTATAAAGTAGTACAGTAATTAAAATTATCTGTATTTAATGTGTTATATACTTTTAAAAATGCAGCTTAGAATGCGGTGGACAAACTGACCTTCTAAAAGTAGGATAATTGTACATAATCTTATTAAATCATTTTCCATACAAGATAATGATAGGAACTATATAATAGTAACCAGTGTTCTTCATGTATTTTTACAAGAAATTATATAAGATAGGGAACTGAAAGTGAGACTATGCCTTCGAGTCTTCCCTCTTGACCATATTAATATATTCCTTTACTGAGCACTGGGCAGTTATTATGTCTTACTTGATTTGATAGTTTTTTAATTAGTATTCTTAGATATACATCTAGTCTGTCGAGACTGGTTCTCCTAAGGTGACTGCAGGCGCTCACACTCAACAACTGGTGTGATAAATGCCATAAACTGGTACATAATTGTCTTAACTCTTCCACGGTCTCCGAGACATGATATAAATGTTAATTTATAAAAAAGGTTTATATATATTTAGACATACTTTGTTTATGGTTGTGCAATATTACTTTATTTGTAGATATTTTTTATACTAAACTCTCAGTCTCATATACAGTACTCTACTAACATGGATTTTTTACTGTGAATATTGATTTTGAAAATTTATAAATACTCGATATGTGTACAGCATTGTGTGGTGACCCCAGTTGTGTTTTGTATTTACTGTGTACATTTTAATGAGGTTTTCTCTACTGTTCCCTTGTATTTGTGCCTTAACACTGATAAAGTTCTGATGAGATTGTAACTATAAATGGTACAGGTACTTGAGAAGTTATCTTAGCTATGTGGAGCAGTAAGTAAAGTGGCCACATCATTCAGAGGTAGATGCTCGGAGTGTCTACCTCTGAATACTCCTATATATTAGGTACTACTGTATCTTATTGACCTTCCTGCTGTGTTCCATCTTTGCATTAGCAGAATTGTTCAGAAATTCTTTATAAACCTCTGGCCAGTGAGGTAAAATATTGTGTCACAAATAATATAAAGGTCAGGTTTCTAGTGTTTTTCACTTTGTCCAGATTTGTAGCGTTGGAAAGTTTGTACCAAAAAAAAAAAATAGTTAATATATATAAAGTTGTGATTTAAAAATTTTATATATCTTACAGAGGCTGCAGCATTTTGTCATTACATTACAAAAGCTTCCAATATGACTGACATATGTTAATCTTTTTTATTTATTTTTTTAAATTTATCCCCAATTCATTTTGATAAGTAAACAAATATATATAACATAGAGAAGTTACTTTTGAAGAGAAATTTGCAATGCTGAGTGATGTCAGTTTTTCTAGTGGTACAAACTGTTAATGAGTTTTGTGGGAAAATGATCAGTGTCACATTAAAAGAGAATATCTGACTTCTCTTGTTGAATATTGTCTGAAGGACAGTACTGTACTGTACAAAACTTTATAAATACCTGTAACTCATTTTTGGTAAAATAATGAGACTGGTGACTTGTGTACAGATGTTCCAACATGATGGAAGAGCACAAGAAAAATAATCAAGTTCATTAATGTCTCAACAGCAAAAATGAGTCCAGTCTTATGATTTTGACCATGTTTCTACAATATACTGTGCTGACTGACCTATTTGTGTTTTGAATGTAGAAAATACTAGAAGTTGTCATCAGTTGCAAATCAAATTCCAGTTAGGAATTGTTTTAGTATAAGTCTTACCAGTAACAGTTTGTTCCGCTAAGAGGAGGAGTGGACCAGTACCAGCTGTGTTTATTATTGTTGGTGTCCTGGAGCTAAAGCTGTACAAGGAGCCTGACACTCAAATATTAAAACTTAAATTATGAATCCACTTGAAAGCACGATTGACAAACTCAGCTGTAGGTTGATTAAACTATGCAAAACATATTCAACTGTGTAAATTTACTTTAATCTTGTTACTCACAAGGAGCAGTGTTCAGCAACTGCTTTTATTTACCAATGGTTAGACAACCTTCATAAACATCCAATTATTAGAAACTCAAAAGATTTTCTCATGTAGACCATAAAGTATTAGTATGTGTTATGAGATATTTTTTCTGGAGTTCATTATATTTGTAAATGATGCTTACAAATCAAAGAACTCTCTCTACCTGTGACAATTTCCTCCAAGATATTAAACAAGATGTCCGTAATTTATTTTCATTATCCAAAAACTTGTAAAACTAGTTAACTTTTGTTTACTTAGCTGTCTGAAATGTGGTACTCTATTATCATTTACTGTAATACCAAATAATGGACGAAACAGCAAGCCTAATTAATGCCTTATGAATATTTCGACCCAAATATACTTTTCTCTTGGAATTGGAATCTAACGGTTCATCTAATTAAGTGCTTCCAGAATAACACAAAAACACCAAAATTGCACCTCGGAAACCCACAGTTGGCGAAAAATTAGCATAAAAGATGTCATTAAAATCTTCCAACCATCATTACAACCACATATCTAGTTTTCATTTGATATCTTCCCATTTTCATTGATGAAAGCTTCCCGTAGAACCTCATAGAACCATATAGAACCCAATAGCACCATATAGAAACCCATAGAACATCAAAGAATCCCATAGAACCTTATAGAACCTCATAGAATCTTGCATAACCCTATAGAACCTCATAGAGCCCCGTAGAACCTCGCATACTGCTTAAAAGGAGTGTCAATCAGGGGCATCTCACCCAAGGGAACTTTGTCAATTTTTCCCTTTGGAATGACTCGCTAATAAAGATCACAAAATTTACAGAACCTATGGTTCTCCACTAACATTCCTGGTTAAGTGAAATTCTCTAACTTTACTCCTCGTTTTTCCTACACCAAAATGATCTCCAAGCAATCATTCATGAGCAACTTGCATCACTGCCCTCCAAAGCATCTCTGGTAAAACGGGTGTCAAGTTTCTGTAGAACTTGCACTTTTGCTAACTTCCATTTGAAGAGCGTGGAATCCTCTTGCTGCACTTTCTAAGTTCTGTTGCCGTCATCTGCAATCTATGTGGAAGATCCATACAATGTAGAGACTTATGGGATGATCCGGCTGAATAGTTGTGGATGAGGTTTGAATGATTAGTATACACAACTGGGGTCTGTGCCATTATTTTATGGGCCAAAACTGTCAAAAATGTAAGCCGTACACCTTAGTAATTTTTCGACCAAACTATACTTTTCTCTCAGAATTGAAATTAAAGGAGTTTACTTAATTAAGTATTTACAGAATAACACATTAACACCAGAATAGCACTTTCGAAACCGATAGTTGGCAATTAATTAATTAGCATTGAAAAATGTCATTTACTTTTCCAATCATCATTACAACCACTAATTACCCCGAAATCAAGGGCCCCCGGGGGCACCGCTGCCCCTGGAATGGCCCTTGGAGGCACTACTGCCCATGGGAGGGCCCCTGGGGCGCCACCGCCCATGGGAAAGCCCCTAGGGGCGCCACCACCACTGGGAGGGCCCAAGATGCAACCGCCCTAGTGAGGGCCCCTAGGGAGCCGCCGTCTCTGTGAGGACCCCTGGGAGCGTCCCTGCCCTTGGTAGGGCACCTGGGAGAACCCCTAGAGGTGCCACCGCCCATGGGAAACCCCTGGCGGCGCCACCACCCCTGGGGGAAGCCTGGATACACCACCCCTGGAGGTTGCCTTGAGGGAGCCACTTCCCTTAGGAGGGCCCCTAGGGAGGCCACCGCCTTTGCAAGGGCCCCTGAGAAGAACCATGGGAGCACCGCCGCCTCTGGTAGGGCCCCTGGGGGTGCCGCCGCCCTTGGAACGGCCCCCTAAGGACACCACCGCCTCTGTGAGTGCCCCAAGGCGCGCTTCCGCATCTGGGAGAGCACCTGGTGGCACCGACGCCCTTGGGTGGGCCCCAGGAAGCTCTGCTTTCCTAGGAAAGCTCCTCGAGGCGCCAACGCCCCTGGAAGGCCCCTGGGGGCACTACCGCTCCAGGGAACGCACCTGGGGACACCACCTTTCCTAAGAACGTCACTGCCCTGAAAAGGCGACTGGGGTCGCCGCCGCCCTTGGTAAGGCCCCTGGGAGCTACATCAGCCCTGGAGGTGCCGCCACCTTGGGAAGGCTCAAGGGTGCACTGCATCCCCTAGGAAGGGCCCTTGTGACATCAACGCCCCTGGAAAAGCACCTGGGGGCACCACTACTCATGAGAGGGCCCCTAGGGTCAACACCGCTCTTAGGAAGGCCTCTGGGAGGTTCCCTGGGGGCAGTTGTTTTTGCACTATTTAGAACACTGTGAGATATGACATTAAATAAGTACACCGCCCATCGCATTTCCAGTATCACCGTAACCTCAAAAATGAAAAGGAGAATATATATCCAACAGGAAAACATAAGTTGGGGTGTTGTGCTGACTGACTGCTCTGTTCTCCTATTGGCTGTAATTTGGTGAACTTACATTTTAGTCCACCAATCACAGTTAAGCAAGTGATTGCTGGATGTATACAATATGTAGGACACTACGACCAAGCAAGCTATAGAGCTCCTGGAAAATGGCGCCCCTGGGAGGTCCCCTAGGAGCACCACCGTTGCTGAGGGGCACCTACAGGTGCTGACGTCCATGGGAGTGCACCCTAGGTGCACTACCGTCCCTGAGATGGCCCTCTAAGGGTGCCACCGCCCTTGGGAGGGCCCCCTAAAGGCACCGCCGACACTGTAAAGGGCCTTTAAGGGCGCCTGCGGATCCCGGAGAGCCCCAGGGGTGGGGTTGCCCTTGAAAGGGCCCCTGGGAGCGCCTCCGTTTCTGAGAGGGCCCACTAAGGGTGCTGATTCCTTGGGAGGACCCCAGGGGGCACTGCCTTCCCTAGGAAGGCCCCTGAAGGCGCCAACGCCACTGAGAAGGCAGCTAGGGGCGGCACCGCTCCTGGGAAGGCCCCTGGGGGCCCAGCAGACCCTGGCAGGGTGCACTAGGGTTGCTGCTGCTTTTCTGAGGGCCCCTGGGACGTCCTCTGGGGGCTGTTGTTTTTGAACTTTTGAGAACTCTGTGAGATATGACGTTAAATAAGAACACTGCCCATCGCATTTCCAGTGTCAACGCAACCTCAAAAATGAAAAGGAGAATAAATATCCAACAGGAAAACATAATGTGGGGTGTTGTGCTGACCGACTGCTCTGCTCTCCTATTGGCTGTAAATTGGTGAATTACATTTTAGTCCACCAATCACAGTTAAGTTAGGGAATGCTGGATGTAAACAATAAGTACTACACCACGACCAAGCAAGCTATAGGTCTGCTGGAAAAGGGCACCCCGGGGAGGGCCCCTGGAATGGCCCTAAGAGTACCACCGCTCCTGAGGGTCCCCTAGGGGTGCTGACGACCTTGTGAGGGTCCCTTAGGGGCACTGCTGACCCTGCAATGGCCCCATAGGGGTGCCGCCGCCCTTGAAGGTCCTCCTAAAGGCACTGCCAACCCTTTGAGGGCCCTTAAGGGTGCCTGCGCATCTGGGAGAGCCCCTGGGGGCAGAGCCGCCCATGGAAGGGCCCCAGGGGGCGTTGCCTCCCTTAGGAAGGCCCCTGAAGGCGCCAACGCCACTGAGTAGGTCGCTGAGGGCGCTACCGCTCATGGGAAGGCCCCTGGGAGGGCCCCCTAGGATTATCGCCGCTTTTCGGAGGGCTCCTGGGAGGTCCTCTGGGGGCAGTTGTTTTTTAACTACGTATTTAGAACTCTGTGAGTTATGACATTAAATAAGTACACCGCCCATCGCATTTCCAGTATCACTGTAACCTCAAAAATGAAAAGGAGAATAAATATCCAACAGGAAAACATAAGTTGGGGTGTTGTGCTGACTGACTGTTCTGTTCTCCTATTGGCTAAAATTGGATGAATTTACATTTTTGCCCACCAATCACAGTTAAGTAAGTGATTGCTGGATGTATACAATATGTAAGACACTACAACCAAGCAAGCTATAGGGCTCCTGGAAAGGGGCGCCCCTAGGAGGGCCCCTGAGAGCACCACTGCTCCTAATGGGCCCCTAGGGGTGCTAATGCCCTTGGAAAAGACCCCTAAGGGCACTGCAGACCCTGGGATAGCCCCCTAGGGGCATTGCCGACCCTGGGATGTCCCCCTAGTGGTGCCGACGCCCTTGGGAGGGCCCCCAAAAGGCATCGCCTACCATGTAAAGGGCCTTTAAGGGCGCCTGAGGATCTCAGAGAGCCCCAGGGGGCGAGGTTGCCCTTGAAAGGGCCCCTGGGAGCGCCTCCGTTTCTGAGAGGGTCCACTAAGGGTGCTGATTCCTTGGGAGGACCCCAGGGGGCACTGCCTTCCCTAGGAAGGCCCCTGAAGGCGCCAACGCCACTGAGAAGGCAGCTGGGGGCGGCACCGCTCCTGGGAAGGCCCCTGGGGGCCCAGCAGACCCTGGCAGGGCGCACTAGGGTTGCTGCCGCTTTTCTGAGGGCCCCTGGGACGTCCTCTGGGGGCTGTTGTTTTTTAACTTTTGAGAACTCTGTGAGATATGACGTTAAATAAGAACACTGCCCATCGCATTTCCAGTGTCAACGCATCCTCAAAAATGAAAAGGAGAATAAATATCCAACAGGAAAACATAATGTGGGGTGTTGTGCTGACCGACTGCTCTGCTCTCCTATTGGCTGTAAATTGGTGAATTACATTTTAGTCCACCAATCACAGTTAAGTTAGGGAATGCTGGATGTAAACAATAAGTACTACACCACGACCAAGCAAGCTATAGGTCTGCTGGAAAAGGGCACCCCGGGGAGGGCCCCTGGAATGGCCCTAAGAGTACCACCGCTCCTGAGGGTCCCCTAGGGGTGCTGACGACCTTGTGAGGGTCCCTTAGGGGCACTGCTGACCCTGCAATGGCCCCATAGGGGTGCCGCCGCCCTTGAAGGTCCTCCTAAAGGTACTGCCAACCCTTTGAGGGCCCTTAAGGGTGCCTGCGCATCTGGGAGAGCCCCTGGGGGCAGAGCCGCCCATGGAAGGGCCCCAGGGGGCGTTGCCTCCCTTAGGAAGGCCCCTGAAGGCGCCAACGCCACTGAGTAGGTCGCTGAGGGCGCTACCGCTCATGGGAAGGCCCCTGGGAGGGCCCCCTAGGATTATCGCCGCTTTTCGGAGGGCTCCTGGGAGGTCCTCTGGGGGCAGTTGTTTTTTAACTACGTATTTAGAACTCTGTGAGTTATGACATTAAATAAGTACACCGCCCATCGCATTTCCAGTATCACTGTAACCTCAAAAATGAAAAGGAGAATAAATATCCAACAGGAAAACATAAGTTGGGGTGTTGTGCTGACTGACTGTTCTGTTCTCCTATTGGCTAAAATTGGATGAATTTACATTTTTGCCCACCAATCACAGTTAAGTAAGTGATTGCTGGATGTATACAATATGTAAGACACTACAACCAAGCAAGCTATAGGGCTCCTGGAAAGGGGCGCCCCTGGGAGGCCCCTGAGAGCACCACTGCTCCTGATGGGCCCCTAGGGGTGCTGATGCCCTTGGAAAAGACCCCTAAGGGCACTGCAGACCCTGGAATAGCCCCCTAGGGGCATTGCCGACCCTGGGATGTCCCCCTAGTGGTGCCGACGCCCTTGGGAGGGCCCCCTAAAGGCATCGCCTACCATGTAAAGGGCCTTTAAGGGCGCCTGAGGATCTCAGAGAGCCCAAGGGGGCGAGGTTGCCCTTGAAAGGGCCCCTGGGAGCGCCTCCGTTTCTGAGAGGGTCCACTAAGGGTGCTGATTCCTTGGGAGGACCCCAGGGGGCACTGCCTTCCCTAGGAAGGCCCCTGAAGGCGCCAACGCCACTGAGAAGGCAGCTGGGGGCGGCACCGCTCCTGGGAAGGCCCCTGGGGGCCCAGCAGACCCTGGCAGGGCGCACTAGGGTTGCTGCCGCTTTTCTGAGGGCCCCTGGGACGTCCTCTGGGGACTGTTGTTTTTGAACTTTTGAGAACTCTGTGAGATATGACGTTAAATAAGAACACTGCCCATCGCATTTCCAGTGTCAACGCATCCTCAAAAATGAAAAGGAGAATAAATATCCAACAGGAAAACATAATGTGGGGTGTTGTGCTGACCGACTGCTCTGCTCTCCTATTGGCTGTAAATTGGTGAATTACATTTTAGTCCACCAATCACAGTTAAGTTAGGGAATGCTGGATGTAAACAATAAGTACTACACCACGACCAAGCAAGCTATAGGTCTGCTGGAAAAGGGCACCCCGGGGAGGGCCCCTGGAATGGCCCTAAGAGTACCACCGCTCCTGAGGGTCCCTTAGGGGCACTGGTGACCCTGCAATGGCCCCATAGGGGTGCCGCCGCCCTTGAAGGTCCTCCTAAAGGCACTGCCAACCCTTTGAGGGCCCTTAAGGGTGCCTGCGCATCTGGGAGAGCCCCTGGGGGCAGAGCCGCCCATGGAAGGGCCCCAGGGGGCGTTGCCTCCCTTAGGAAGGCCCCTGAAGGCGCCAACGCCACTGAGTAGGTCGCTGAGGGCGCTACCGCTCATGGGAAGGCCCCTGGGAGGGCCCCCTAGGATTATCGCCGCTTTTCGGAGGGCTCCTGGGAGGTCCTCTGGGGGCAGTTGTTTTTTAACTACGTATTTAGAACTCTGTGAGTTATGACATTAAAAAAGTACACCGCCCATCGCATTTCCAGTATCACTGTAACATCAAAAATGAAAAGGAGAATAAATATCCAACAGGAAAACATAAGTTGGGGTGTTGTGCTGACTGACTGTTCTGTTCTCCTATTGGCTAAAATTGGATGAATTTACATTTTTGCCCACCAATCACAGTTAAGTAAGTGATTGCTGGATGTATACAATATGTAAGACACTACAACCAAGGAAGCTATAGGGCTCCTGGAAAGGGGCGCCTTTGGGAGGGCCCCTGAGAGCACCACTGCTCCTGATGGGCGCCTAGGGGTGCTGATGCCCTTGGAAAAGACCCCTAAGGGCACTGCAGACCCTGGGATAGCCCCCTAGGGGCATTGCCGACCCTGGGATGTCCCCCTAGTGGTGCCGACGCCCTTGGGAGGGCCCCCTAAAGGTATCGCCTACCATGTAAAGGGCCTTTAAGGGCGCCTGAGGATCTCAGAGAGCCCCAGGGGGCGAGGTTGCCCTTGAAAGGGCCCCTGGGAGTGCCTGCGTTTCTGAGAGGGCCCACTAAGGGTGCTGATTCCTTGGGAGGACCCCAGGGGGCACTGCCTTCCCTAGGAAGGCCCCTGAAGGCGCCAACGCCACTGAGAAGGCAGCTGGAGGCGGCACCGCTCCTGGGAAGGCCCCTGGGGGCCCAGCAGACCCTGGCAGGGCGCACTAGGGTTGCTGCCGCTTTTCTGAGGGCCCCTGGGACGTCCTCTGGGGGGCTGTTGTTTTTGAACTTTTGAGAAATCTGTGAGATATGACGTAAAATAAGAACACTGCCCATCGCATTTCCAGTGTCAACGCATCCTCAAAAATGAAAAGGAGAATAAATATCCAACAGGAAAACATAATGTGGGGTGTTGTGCTGACCGACTGCTCTGCTCTCCTATTGGCTGTAAATTGGTGAATTACATTTTAGTCCACCAATCACAGTTAAGTTAGGGAATGCTGGATGTAAACAATAAGTACTACACCACGACCAAGCAAGCTATAGGTCTGCTGGAAAAGGGCACCCCGGGGAGGGCCCCTGGAATGGCCCTAAGAGTACCACCGCTCCTGAGGGTCCCCTAGGGGTGCTGACGACCTTGTGAGGGTCCCTTAGGGGCACTGCTGACCATGCAATGGCCCCATAGGGGTGCCGCCGCCCTTGAAGGTCCTCCTAAAGGCACTGCCAACCCTTTGAGGGCCCTTAAGGGTGCCTGCGCATCTGGGAGAGCCCCTGGGGGCAGAGCCGCCCATGGAAGGGCCCCAGGGGGCGTTGCCTCCCTTAGGAAGGCCCCTGAAGGCGCCAACGCCACTGAGTAGGTCGCTGAGGGCGCTACCGCTCATGGGAAGGCCCCTGGGAGGGCCCCCTAGGATTATCGCCGCTTTTCGGAGGGCTCCTGGGAGGTCCTCTGGGTGCAGTTGTTTTTTAACTACGTATTTAGAACTCTGAGAGTTATGACATTAAATAAGTACACCGCCCATCGCATTTCCAGTATCACTGTAACCTCAAAAATGAAAAGGAGAATAAATATCCAACAGGAAAACATAAGTTGGGGTGTTGTGCTGACTGACTGTTCTGTTCTCCTATTGGCTAAAATTGGATGAATTTACATTTTTGCCCACCAATCACAGTTAAGTAAGTGATTGCTGGATGTATACAATATGTAAGACACTACAACCAAGGAAGCTATAGGGCTCCTGGAAATGGGCGCCTTTGGGAGGGCCCCTGAGAGCACCACTGCTCCTGATGGGCCCCTAGGGGTGCTGATGCCCTTGGAAAAGACCCCTAAGGGCACTGCAGACCCTGGGATAGCCCCCTAGGGGCATTGCCGACCCTGGGATGTCCCCCAAGTGGTGCCAGCGTGCTTGGGAAGGCCCCCTAAAGGCACTGCCGACCCTGTAAAGGGCCTATAAGGGCACCTGCAGATCCCGGAGAGCCCCAGGGGGCGGGCTTGCCCTTGAAATGGGCCCCTGGGAGTGCCTCCGCTCCTGAGAGGGCCCACTATTGTACTATTCCAGATGATACTAAATGTTACATAATACTTCCTTGAGACAAATGTAGAGTATATATCAGGTGCCTCAAAGAGAGCTCAGGTTCTAAACTGGCTCAGCCATGTTAATAATGTCATTATTATCCACTGTTTCTGTATTTTTCTGGCTAAATAAAATGTTTCAATTCAATTCAATTCAACTCAACTAAGGGTGCGGATTCCTTGGGAGGACCCAAGGGGCGCTGCAAGGCTCCTAAAGGCGCCAACGCCACTGAGAAGGCAGCTGGGAGCAACACCCCTCCTGGGAAGTCCCCTGGGGGCGCCACAGACCCTGGGAAGGCGCCCTAGGGTTGTTGCCGCTTTTCGAAGGACCCCTGGGAGCTGTTGTTTTTGCACTTTTTTTTAACTATGAGATATGACGTGTGGTTATCGTTATCAGTGTGTGTTCACTAGCTATGTTTACTTTTGTTTTTGTCACGAGAGGATAAACGCAAGTTGTTCTATTCGTGAATGTCAACAAATCACATTCCCCAAATACCATATATTGACATTCCACTTTCCCATTATTTAGATAGTGTATCTAAAATATGACATTTTAATACACATCCTCTCCTTTAATGAATACATAAAATAGGATATTTGGTGAAAAACAAAATATTGGTAAATTATTTTTTTTTAAACTGCTGCCTAGATTTACAAGTGTTGTCATTAATTTTATTATTCAGTTAAGTCAAGACTTAAACTAAACTTCAACAATACATTTTCTACAATAATGTCTTATATTTGACTGAAAAATATATACATCATTTTAGTCTCATCTGAGAGATGGCTCAGCAACTGAAACAAGATCTCAAATCATGGTATCCAAATTACAATCATTTTCTCAATTACATGCTACAACTGTATTATTTCCTTAATAGTTCTGGTTTATTTAGTTTGATAATACATTATAAATAAGAACATCAAGCTATACAGTAAACCCTCCTGCATTTCAGTGATACGTATATTGCAAAAATTTGTATGGTGAAAGCACGTTATCCATAGACAGTGTTATAAATGGAGGCGGTTTCCTGGAGGTAATTTTCAGACACCTTATGCAACCAAACTGTAATTAATACAAGACATAATAACTCGATTCAAAACAACACTCATGAATACACAATAAATACATTAAAACGAACAAAAACTTTATCAGAGCAGATGTTTTTGACTCGTTTGCAGCATTATTTATCTTACTCTAGAAACTTCTAGTAGGTTCCCGTTACAGAGGATTGGACACAAGTATAACTTCCATGCTACAGAACTTGGAAAGTATATATCCTTCTCAAAATACTGTGATTTTGCTGCAGATAATTGGCAATAGAGCAAGAAATAACTTTTTTTAGATATCTACACATATGAATCTACAGTATATCCATTTAGTAGAAGCACATTTGACATAGAGAGCACTGATATGGAAGTTTTGGAAAGTTTAACAAGGCACATAATGTAGACTTCTGTAACTCAAGGCTTTGATCACAACCTAAAAATAATTAAGAGATCCATATTCAGTACCTGAACTGGCCCTCAGGGGAAATTGTGTGTGAAATCCAAGGAAGTAGTACAATATTATGATAGTAAATAATAAATCATTGCCAACAGTGCGTGACAGAGACTTGACCGATCGCCCGGGCGGCTAGCGAGCAGATCTTTTGGTGAAGAATATAAATGAAAAGAGACGTGACCGATCGCCCAAGCGGCTAACAAGCCTATCAGTGGCGAAGAGGATAAAAGTAAAAAGTAATTGTAGCTATTCCACATCAGGAAATAACAGGAAGAATCTAAAATTCATTGATATTTACAGAAAAATTAGAGTTTTTAAACAGAATTAAAACAATTTTGTTGAAGGCATCACAACAAAGATGTCCCACAACCTCAACAACTGTATCTGTTTTATACAATATAAATCCCTAGCCTATTAAATTTACAAATTAGTTTTTTATATCCTTAGGGCCTAAATATCTGTTAATATATTAACTCTATTTCTCTTGACTTGATTTTACACCATATAACACACCACAACAACCACTACTAGAGCTGTCAGTACTTGCTTACAGGAAAACAAGTTATACAGAGAAACTACCTCCCTGATGTCTACAGCTTTTGTTCTTGTGAATTACATAGATTTCTGGACTTGTGAGCAAAACCAGTAAAACCCAGTACTGTACACTGTACTTAATGAAAACAAAACAATGGTAAACTATCAAACTATGGACTGGTGGAACTTATACAAATCTTATCACAATGGAGCTGAACCTTGATAATTTGGAACTGATCTTAAGTGCAACCTAAAAAAAAAAAATATTAATTTCATATTCAATGTGTTACTAAAACAAAGTTAAACAGAAATGCCTCCAGTACTACAATAAAGAGGCAAGTTTCATATTTTTTTTTCAAGGTATGACAACTGCTGCTTAACATAAACAAAACAGTAAGATGAAATATGCATTAAACCTTGTACAGGTTGAGAAAAGTCAAAAGATGATTATAAGAAATAGGCTTACTGTAATAATAACCGCATATACTCTATAAGATGATTAATCCACACTGAATGGACGAGCTATAAACCATATTCTATTTACCCGAAATAATTAGAACTTCCTTTGCCAAATCGTCAAGGTTCAACTGTTGTCCATTCTACATTAGACATCCAAAGCAGCAAATATTAAAAATTTTACACAGAAAATGTAAATTGTATTACAAAATGGGAATGTCATCGTTTAAGCACATTAAGACAAAGCACATATTTTTCCACTCACAGAACACCTTATGCCATACGGAAGATCAGTCTAAGGCTGCCGAGTTTCGACATCACAATACCACTTGTTGGGGGACCGGTGGTAGAAGCGGTACCGTTCATGCCTCGCAAGCGAGATGTTACGGGTTCGATTCCCGGGCCGGTGGAAGTTGTTTGGACTTACTTCCTAGCCCCCATTAGTCCCTGTTCACCTAGCAGTAAAGTAAGTACCTGTTGTATGTCGAAAGTTGCAAATTCGTATTCAGGGAGGAGTTGGAGCTTCCAATAACTTTATGACATAAACCACTGACTCTTCATGCTTCTACACCCTTAACTCATGAGACATAAAGGCAAGCATGAACTTAGCATGCTTCCCTGTTGGGCGCTGTAAACGCTTCTGCGCTTCACCTTACACAAGGATGTAGGGGAGTGCCTAATAAAAAAAATAAAAAAAAAAAAAAAAATTACCACTTGTTCTTGACTTGATTATATGTATACAATTATTACACAACATTGATGTAACCTCTAAGATACATACAGCAAGATTTCCAGCAATATATAACACTTGATTAGAACCTACAACAGTACTGACATATGTTAGGCAAAATACTTTATTTCAATTTGCTACATTTTATGCACTGGGATATCAAAGAATTATGCTGCAATGATAAAAATACACATTAAAGTTATTAGTCAAGAAGAAATAGGTTGCAAGCATAAATGTAGAGTATCTACCACAACAAATTTATGAGCAGAACTGAGGATGCAGTTTTATAATATAGAACGGTACTGTATATTCTCAAAGTATTATCTCAACTGTGCCCAGTAACAGTCAACAGATTAATATTACATTTTCACACCTTGGTTTGAAGCTGTATCTGCTTGCCTCTTGGGTGTTTCAGCTGATTTTTCACATAGTCCTATTCTACTTCCAAGGAGTAGTGAATTACCTGTACTAGTATTATTTGATTTTGTAATTTACCCCATATTTTAAATTTCTGATGTTTAAGTCTGTCAAGCACACTGACAAGTTGCTCTTTTGTGGTTTGTAACCAGATGCAACTTGTCCCAATCATACTTGCATTGGAAAGCATTGTTTTTGCGTTTGTTTTACTAGGAATAACAAGAAAAAACGATAATGAAACTTAACATTAACAAGAATAGCAGATGTCAAAAGTCACAATAGCAGAACAAATGCAAACACCAATTACACTTAGGTTTTATTAACTAATGAAATCCCCCCCCCCCACACAAATAAAAAAATATAATAAAAATTAAGATTAATATATAATCCTATTCATGGAGGCCTAATTGAATGAGGCATTGCAAAAATTGCTCTAATGGGTTTCAGAATGCATCATGGAACCTGTTTCTGGCAGGACATATGAAAGCTTTATATTACAAACCTCGGTACCCCCAGCTAAACATCTTATTAACTGCATCAATCCTCTCAATGAATATCAATCTGGATGGATTGACTGGGAACTTTTTGAGCTGCTGACATTATATGAAAAATTCTTGGTCATTATTGCCTGCTCTCTCTCAAGAACCGAAGGGTGTCACCCCAATCAGTTAAGAGACAGCATATCCATAGTAGTTCATAAAATTTGGTCCATTCCCACCTACATGACTGGCAATAGGTACAACCAAAAACATCAATTGGATCATCAATAACTCCCTCATCGTATTGTGAGGGTGTGTCATGTTGGGTCTCTGTAACAAAGTGTGTTAACATTTAGACCTGTGTTGAAGAGTAACAGAATTTGGACAGTGAATGTATAAGATCATCAAAATCGTTTTGGTGATGGTGAATGTGTCAATCGGTGTAGCAATTTCGTCATTCGTGATTGAAAATCTAAGTATTCTTTCTACTTGACTAGAGATAAGTTGTGTGGGTACAACCATAAAATCAGTGCCACATGCCAATATATATATATATTTTATTTTATTTTTATTTTTTTATTAATAATAAAAGACCCATCACTGAATACTGCTTATGACACACACAACTCTTCTCAACCAAGCCCTAACACACTACACTGTACCCACATAATAAAAAAAAAAATACAGTATTAGCTTATGTAATTCAAATACATTGCAGTAAACTTGGTTTTGTCATCTTAATTTCTGCTTTATAAACTTTGTGCAACAATACTGTACAAAACTAATTGTAGAACTAGTACCTGTCATTTACCTCCCATTTTGAGAACAATTATTAACAAAAAAGTACAGGTACAGTATCATGACATTTTAAATATCCGTAACTATAAAGAGCTGTGCCTTCTGTATCATCAGACAATTGTTACATCCCAAAACCATAAAGCCAACCTTCAAAGTATCATATGAAATCTAAAATTTTTAGCAAGTCCTGGGATGACCATTATGGTATACGTCGTACCTGTAGTGTGTATTGAACTGCCGAGCCTCTACAACCAAACCCAAAGTGTTCACACAAAGACGCAGGATAAATATGCACCAGAGACAACAGAAGACTGTAAAATATAAGCAAGAAATACAGTACAGTACAGTAATGGACTTATCTGTACAATTATATATACTGTACCTATAACTTTATTAACACCAAGAAGAATAGTTTTCATAGTATATTGTATTGCCAAGTATATTTGGACAGCCAATTATTTGAACAATCGTAAAGATGGGAACAATTTCATGTCACAAACAAACCTTGAATTTCATATGCAAGACATCTCGCATGTCTATTTTATATTATTATCACACAACCCAACACTACCTCGTAATTTAATTTAAACTTGTACTAAAAGGAATAAAACACAATCACCCATGAACATACTTGAATGTGGTCTCCATAGATCATGACCCTAAAGCGCACACACACACACACAGTACACACTTAGGGTACAAGTTACTTACTCTACTTCCTGCAGCAAATAGAACTGCATTTATAGATCCCTTCACTTTGGATAAGCCATTTTCAACATCACATAAAACCATAGAATCGAATCCCTCACTTCAGATAAACTATTTACCAACAGTATATAGAACTGTACTTAAAGAAGTCTTCACTGGGGATCAATTGTGAGCACCAAATCGTCTCCCTGCAGCTTCATGTCTTTGGTTATATCCAAGGTGTTAACAACTCCATCACAAGGACACTGGACAATCATCTCCATCTTCATGGCAGAGAGGACTACTAATGGAGATCCCTTCTTCACTTTATCACCCACTTTCACACGGATGTCGACCACTGTGCCAGGCATTGGGGCTCCTACCTGACCCTTTACACCAGGAGAAACTTTTGGGTGGACGTGCATCTCCTGGTAAATGAAAATTAACATTACAATGGGAATGGTAATAAAAATATGCAGTATCTCTTATCTTAATATGATTGTGCAATAATCGCTGATGCATTCTAAGCCGCCAAATTTAAAAATAAAATAAAACTGTTACACAATATATACTGTATAATATAATGCATGCACACAACAACAAATAAATTAAATCACTCACTCTCACACTCATTCAATTACTCCTTCATATTCATTCACTCAAATACGTTGATTCACACTCTCACTCCATTCACTTACTCAGTTCCCACTTGCTCACTCTCACACTGACTGACTCACTCACTCCTTTTCACTCTCACATACTCATATATTGTCATAATCACCAACACAATCATTTATCAGTATACACTCTCATATGAGTACATACTGTATGTATGTTTATGCTGACAACAAACTAAAGTTCTCAAATCATTGTAACAAGGTGAATCTTGCCAACAAACTAGTACGACTAATACAAGGGTCCATTCCACATTTCTGATGAGCTATATCTAAAAAAGCTTTAAAAAAAAGTATTGCAACCTCTGTTTAGTCTTTGAGATATGACAAACAGTCAGAAGTCAATTGACTGCAAGCATCCAAAGGGAGAGTATCAAAATTTTGCCAGTACCCAAATGTGCTATTTTACACATAATTTCAATGTACAGTATATCTTTATATTGAAATAGGAGGATCTGCATATTTTGGCTGTATGGGAAACAACTCTCAAATTTCAAGCAAAGTTATTGAAACTTTTTAATTTACTTGTGCCAATTTGCAGTTACTCTCTACCCTCTGTATTTCTTACCTTCACCGCTTCTTGGTCACGGACCATTACAGATCTAAGCTGGCCGTTCAGCTCAAAGAACACCTCCCTTTCCCCGTTAGCATTGAGATCTTCAGCCATGGCCAGAGTCTTGATATGTAGTGTTTTTCCCTTTTCAATCTGTACTTCAAACTCCTCGCCAACCTAGAATACAAACATCTTCCATGAAGAAAACATAAAAGGACTGCAGCAGCTGACCAAGGGTTGTTTCTATGTCTTTCAACATTATATTGAATTAATTCACAAGGTCAAGTTTTTTGTTTTCCCAAAACTTTAGGTTAGGGATGCAAAAATAGACTCTCCCAAAAAAGGTTACAATTTAAAAGAAGTTTGATATGAACAAAGAAAAAAAATCCTTTCAAATTTCATTTAAAGATGAATAAAAATAATTTCCAATACATGATGTAATCAGTGTTCCCAGTACCTGACTGAACATCAAATGCTCTAAATAACTGCTTTAACATTAAGTGCTCTAAGCAACTGATTGAACATGAAGTGTCCTTAATAAGTAAATGAACATAAAGTGCTCTAAACACCTGATTGTGAACAGTCTTCAAAATATCTGGTAATACTACGTACAAAGTAATCCATATACTGCACCTGATCATCAAGCAAAAGTAAGAGAAACATTCCATGCAATGTATTACAATTTGTTTAGGTGTAAACACAGTACAGGTACAAGTATTAATAAGGGATAGCTTACGCCATGATCAGGCCAACCAATTGACCGGCTAGAAAGCTGACAAAGTGAAAAATATCAGCAAAGATTTATGTGTGTAGCAAAAATCAGGCTCAGTGCATCCCATTACAAATGAGGCACCATCAACCCTGCCCTGATCATGGAATTCAACCATGTATTATTTGGGTTGTAAGTTCAGAGCATTGTCAATTGGAGTCTCACACCCATTAATTCAGATTGACCAAAGACTAGAGTAAGGTTTGATCTGAAAGACACCATAATGCTACACAGTACCTTAGGGCCAGTGAGGAAGATGCGAGTGTCCAACTTATCCACGGGGCCATACTTGTTGCGGAAGAAGAGGTAGTCCTCAGTTACCTGTGGAGAAAAATTGTAGTAAACTTTAAATTGTCAGAGGAAGAAGAGGAAAAATAAGAAAAATCTGATAAAATAAAACAAATAATGTTGAAGGATAAGTTTGCCCAAAAAAACAAAACTCCCTGGTTGAACAGAGATCAGAGCAAAGACCATAACATTCGTAAACAAAGTTGAAAATATTCAACAAATGAATCTCCACATCACGATAAATACCAGTAAATGTAATGAGTACTTTTAAGTAAAAACTATTAAAGACAGCAGGCAAAGAAACTAAAATACTGAGGAAAATTTTTCTTGATTTTAATAAGAAAAAAAAAGTTATATCCATTTCCCAAAGATCATTATGACTATTTACTAAACATCATGACGAAGACTTCAAATAGTTAGGAAGATCTGTACTGTACAGTACAGTACAGTACAGTTCAGTGCAGCATGAGCTGAAGTACCGTAACCAAAATGAGTGAGTACATGTGGATACCAGAATTATATCAAATCTAAAATTCTGAGCCAACATCTGAAAATTCTAAAGCAACTTCAGTATATTTAAGATGTTTTAGAACTTTTTTATTTAATATAGAATTAAACTACAATAATTTCATGCCTACCTTAGGATACATAGCGTAACTAAGAACATCGTAATCTGTTATCCGAGATCCATGTCCCTCCACAAGATCAGACTTGATGTCAGCGAAGTTCATGGGAGTCATTGTAGCTCCCGGGCGCCCCTTGACAATTGGCAGTCCCTTTAGCATCTGTAGTACAGTATTAACATACGTAAATTATGTTATATATATATATATATATCAGGGTATCTACTGGTCTGGGAAATCTGGAAAAGCCGAAGAATTTTACAAATAAACCTGAATTCTATGTGAATTCGGTTGAACTTCAAAATACTGTTATTTTAACAGCAACCTTACCATAAAATAATGATGTACAGTACTATATAATAAGTAAATAATCAAACTTTAAGGAACAAATTCTGGTAACAGTCCACTCCAATAACTGAATTGTTTGTGTCCCATTCATATTTCATGTGAGTGATCAAATAACCAAATATTACAGGTTATACCTACTATTTTTGCAATGAGTATTGTCAGAGATTAATTGTTCTTATAATTAAGTGACTTTATTTAAGTGGATTATTCCACATATTTATCATGTGTCATATAGGTTGATCAGGAGTGTGGTTTTTCGGCTTTTGCCAGTTTCCGGCTTTTTTTTTTTTTGGAACGTCCAGGTCAACCCACGTGAATCGTGCAAATCCGAGGAGAAAAATATGGAGGGGGATCAAGGTCTTTGCCGATGTTCATCACTAGGCTTAATGATCATCCTGTTCATTGCTGGTAAAATAAAATAGTCAAGACAGCTTTCTGTAACTAGTATCTAGACTAAGTACATCACAGGTACAGTTTTGAGATTAAAAAACTTGCACAATACTCATACAAGCCCTAATGTCTGATGCATATCTTTATACAAATTATATAATGGCATTTATTTGGAGTGAAGTTGATGCAACTCTTACCCATATCAAATTTCCTTTCTTAAACAAGTGGCAGGGGATGGAAAATGTACTTACCCTAGTGCGTAATGGTTCTGGGAATCCCCCATAAGGTTCACCTAAGTATCCTTGGATAAACTCAATCACAGACTTTGGGAGGCTAAGATTCTCTGCTCCATTCTCAACGTCAGCAGCGGAGAGCTTGTTCTGCACCATGAACTGAGCCAGATCGCCCACCACTTTTGATGATGGAGTTACCTGTTCATTATACATGCTGATTAGAATAAAATACTGTAGGACAGAGTTTTTGATTTGTTTTACTTTGATTCAAATGATATTTTAAGTCACATCATGCATTCGTGACCAAGGACGTACAGACATGTTTAATTTACCGATCAATCAATCGGGGCCATCCTAGACATTTTCAAGCTGTCTCAAAGCCTGTGAATCAACGGTAATCTCACCTTAATTAAATCACCTAGGAGAAGATTTGCTTCTCTGTATGCCTTCTTCACTGCCTCAAACTGATCTCCCAGCCCTAAGGAGAATGCCTGTACAAATAATAATGAATATGTATTAATCAAATAATACACGAACACCATAAGATGACGGTGTTTAATTCAGAGATAGTTCACTTCGATTCTCAACTAATTAAAATACTCTACTAGTGAATTTCCCAATAACGTTGATTTGGAATAATAAATATATTACACAAATTTCTTAAAACACATTGGAAGCACAAGCACATAATATCAACTTTAAACAAGTCCTACTGCTGATTATTGCAAACGGTTATACAAGAAAAAATCGGTAATGGTGTGTGTGTTTTCCAGTCAGATTGGAGCCCAGAAGGACTGGCCACCTTTAAATTTTCCTTGTTTCTTTACCTGGAACTGAAGATTGGTATACTGCCCACCGGGGATTTCATTCTGATAAACATCTGCATTGCCTGATTTCATAGTCACTGCACACTCAAATGGTGCATAGAGTGTGCGGGTCTGTTCCCAGAAAGCAGAATATTTGCTGATTTTATCCAAATCCATGCCAGTGTCCAGCTCATGCCCCATCAAACTGGCAACAACAGCACCCATGGAGGGCTGGGAAGTCATCCCAGACATGGAATCAACAGCCACATCAACAGCATCAGCACCAGCATAGGCACACTCCAACATAGATGCCACACCTAATTAAAAGATAAATTATTTTAAAATTCACGAAGTAAGAGACACATAAATCATGCTTGCTTATGATGTTCTGTCTTATTCCAACTAACCTCTTTTTATGCAATAATTAGAATAGTGAATTTGACCAAGCTTCTATGCTGGCCTTACCGGCACCCGACGTGTCGTGGGTGTGGACGTGGATGGGCAAATCAGGGTATCGTTCTCGTAAGGCAGAGATGAGTACCTTGGCAGCCTGAGGTTTCAACAGTCCAGCCATGTCCTAAAAATTAAAATTATAAAAAGCTACATGTGAACTTTCTATATTTCTGCATCACACTATCGTAAAATTCTCCCCAATTTCTAAGGAATATTAACAGAAACTAAATATTAAACATACAGACAATACCACAATACATTCCACAAGATTGTATATTAAAAAAAAAAAAATCCCTTAATCAATTCAAGATTATACTGGGGAAAAAATACAGAACATACTAGTGTCACTATGTGTATTTTGATTCTTCGATGTCAAATCATCTCAAGTGATTCATTAAATTCATACCTTAATACAGAGGACATGGGTCCCTGCTTTAACTAGTTCATCAGCCAGATTCATATAATATTCCAAGGTGTATTTCTTCCTACTGGGGTCAGTTATATCTCCAGAATAAGATATGGCTGCTTCAATAACTCCACCTGTTTACAAAAATAATAAAGAATTTAACTGACAATACAACGGAAAATTATACCAGTGCCGTTTATATTGTCTAGCATTTATTAACAACTAATTATATTACATCCAAGAGAGGGAGAAATTAATAGAGATAAACCACCAGTGTAGTATATACAGTATAAGGACAAGACTGACTCTGCACGTACTGCAGGATGCAATAACTTTAATCAGAACTCCTTTCTTAATAACACTTTCCTGGATACTGTTAATAAGTAAATAAAATATAGGCATGATGATAGATCAATCAGTGAAGGCTTTATAATTTTCAAATCTCAGTTTATTTTTCTCGGTGCTGCCTGCTGCTGCTGCCCCCCCCCCTCTCCCCCGTTGTTGTACTACCTTCAATGAATGATCTATCACAATGCCTACATCTTTCTCCTTATCAATAGTACCCAAGCGAGTATTCAAAAATTTTCTATAAAACAATAAATAAATAATATATTCTGAAATACAGTAGTAAGCATTTACTGTACTTCCAACTTGACAAATTTACCTGCATTGCCAACAGCATCTATCCCAAGAATAAGGTTTGGTAGGTAGTTAAGGGAATCGAAGACTCTGAAGACATCCATTCCTGCCTTTACCGACAGCTCACAAAACCTGAAAATTTGATCAGTGACAAAATTATAAAATGATAAGTAAAAATATAAATAAATAATAAAGATAACTTCAACTACTTTCTGTACAAACAAACCTACTTTAACTTCATTACAGGGCACAGCTGGAACACACCAATTCATGGTATCTACATTCTATTAAGGAAGGATCTGCCTTACACCAAAATTAAGGTTCTCTAAACAAAATGTTACCCAAATTCTTAACATAAAACACTACAGCATTACAAGGTCTGATTATTTTTTTTCTTGTGATAAAAAACAATACAGCACAGATAAAACATCTATTACGGTATCTCTATCTCTCACCAACTTTCAAGCAGTGCAGAGTGGATCAAAAGGCACAGAAACATCCCCAAAACAGTGATAATTATGAGTTAGAGTGATTACAGAAGTGTAGAAAATGACAGGAAAAGTTTAAGATAAATTTGACAATCCGTAATACACTTTTAATATTGGACATCAGTAAAATCAGGCTTACATAAATAACATATCTAATCAAAACTTACTTGTAAACAGCATTATCTGGGTAACTCGTGTATCCAACGCCATTGGCTCCCCGGAGAAGCATTTGGAAAGGAATGTTGGGGATAAGCTTGCGCATTTCTTCTAAACGCTCCCACGGACACTCGTGGAGGAACCTAAGAGCTACGTCAAAAGTGGCACCTCCCCAATTTTCCAGCGAATAAAGCGAGTTGAAGTTATGGGACACAAATGGAGAGATCTGAAAGGCCAAAAGAGCACTAGTGGAGAATCACACAATGAACACCACAATGGTTTAAATTATTCAATAACTTAATTCACAAAAAAATAAGAACACGTATCAATTTGGATGCAAGTAGTACAGGTATCATAATGAACATGTGGTACAACAGATCCTCGATTTCGCGATTTGATACTTCACTTTCGTTATTTTCCGGTGCCCTAAATAATCCGGTTTATATTTAGTGTAAAAACTCCTTTATTTAGTAATCTTAGTCCCCCCCCCCCAAAAAAAAAAATTTAAATTACAGTAAATGGTTCACCATGCTCAGCACTTAAGACTCAAGGCGAGTTATAATTTGTTAAAAAGTGTTTTGAAATGATGGAATTTGTGTTGAAGTGAGAAATGGTGTCAAAGTAATTATTTTGGCTGCAATCTCGTGCCCAATCTTTCCTATGAAAATACTGTAGACCGAATTATATACATTACAATTTGTTATTTCATGGGAATTCCTGGTCCCATTCTCACAACCTATCAAGGGTCTACGGTAAAAGTATTAAGAAGTTGATGTCTTTATCTTGATATGAATAAAAGTGAATATAAAAACTACGTATTCTTAGTCATTTATCGCCCACAGTACATCATAAAAATCTTCTAAATAGAGTACACTATCTACGACAAAATCCAAGTGCCTTACCTTGAGGAGGTCGTGGGTGCGGACTCTTGTGGCAAGGAGGGACTGATGGGCATCCCTGAAGGTTGTGTCCATCAGTAGAAGCCCCTTGTGGTTCCTTACAGCCTTTGCAAAACCTTCTGGTCCCTCGGCAACAAGAATGTCTTTTAAGCCCCGTGGTGGGTCGGTAGCTGGGAGAAAAGACGGGAGTATTATCAACTGTCACATCCTAATTATCATGGCTTACTTTTAGTCAGAGGGTTAACATAAAAATGTGTTTGTACAACATGTATACCTAAAAAATTTTGCTTTGGACCCTGAAGTGTATGTTAATACTGTATAAAAAAAATACTAACTCCTATTGAATGAACATCTTATTCAAGAAGTGAATTTATTTACCTTAGAAATGACCAATGATATTCATGATGAACTTACCGTTCAATAAATGATGCTAATACTGTATTTTATTTATTTTGTTAGTTATTATTTTTTTCTTTTCTTATTGTTAAAAATGGTTTATTTGGAATAATTCATTAGCTGAAGGAGAGGCAATCTTCCCTGTGGCTCCCCCCATCGGTTTGCCTGTGGTACTAAATTAACAGCATATAAATACATCAATGTTGACATCACAGAATTCATGAAGAAATGGGTACCAGTCAGCCATATTGAATCACATTACAGTGTACATAAAAATACACCAACATTATTATACTTTATCACAATATTGAATTATGTCTATTCGCATCCTGAGATATGACTGTTGACAAACAAGTCAATGAGCACATACAAATGAATCTAATGAAGACAGGGTTCCAGTTGGCAATGCACAATTCAAAATTGTATTGCCAAAATTAATTGTATTTGAGAGCAAGTGTATGTGTGTACTGTACACATGTGCATGTTTGCCTGTTCGGTGTGTGCATGTGCATATATGAGCATTTGTTTTTACTTTATGTTTCAGTACACTTACCTTGCACAACTATTTTGATTTACCAGTTGATTCCCTATTCAGTTTACACACATAGATCTCAAACTACAGTATATGAGGTAAGAGTTCATGAGGTGAATGTTTGAAAGGCTAGCAAGATGAGAAGTGACAAACAAAGTAAGATAAAAATGAGGTCAGAACCAGAAGGCCACAAACAGCAAAAATGTATAAACACACTTTCTTTTCAATCCAAATGAACTTGACCTTTAAATTAACCTAAAAATCAAAAAGTTTTCTGTGTATGCTTATGAGCAAATATTTAATAAAGATTGACAAGAATGTGTAGAACAAAATCTACGATGCAGAAATTAAAATGTTAACACACAGACAATGCCATACCATTAGTATATACTGTACAGTACAATCAAACTAAAAATAGATACAGACATGAATAGCTATCACAACCTATATACATAAAAAATATAATGTATCTACAGTATATCTTCATAATATGGTATAAATTTATCTGGATACCTAAATAAAGTAAGCTAAAATCATTTCATTCTTCCTATAATAAATTCTAAAAATTCAAAGAACCTATCAATTGTATACATGGATGCTTCATATGCAGTACGGTATTGTATCAACTTTCCAGAGCTCATCTATCAATAAGACTCTGATCTCTCTTCCCTGTTTCTTAAGTTGATATATTTCCCATGACCTCTATCTGTAGACTTGGTGATCAGTCTTGTAAAAGGTTCCAAAGTCAATATTTTCCTACAACTGATAATGTGAAAAAAACATCTATTTGCTTCACTTTTAGCTTTAACAGGAAGATAGAGGCTTCAAAGGGACTCCACCATAATAAAATTGTTTGTTCTCTTATCTTCATGACCAAGGACGCCATAAATCTCACCTCCCGAGATGGTCTATCAATCGTTCATGAACCATGTACAAGTATAACCTTAAATGACATGCAATTAATTACCTTGCAGTCTGCCACATCCTTCCTCTCATCAGTACCTTCTACACCTTTCAAATTCCTCATAGCTGTGACTGTCACCATCCTAAGTTTTATCCCTTAAAGGCAACATACCTGTTTTCCATAATCCATCTACGTGTTCTCCTGTGTTTGCTATTGAAACAGTTAATATAAGTCAACATTCACTAGCATGTGGAGAACTTGCTCTGATGTAGTAGCAATGTTCTCCATATTTACAGAATGGTCACTCTTAAGATTATATTTTATGTTTACCAGCATCTGGACTCTTAAGTAATATATATATTACCAAAATCATAAATGCCCTAATAGCAGATCTAAAGGTAATCTTGGGTGTGACCATTCTCCCTTGGACGTGATGGAAATATTTAATTCCTAATACATAAATGGGGGTCTACATACTAATCTCTTGTTTTAAAGTACAGTACAGGGTACGTAAGAAAAATCTATAAGTGAATTTATAAACAGTACTCTCCTAACTATATTAAAAAGGTCACAGGAGTTATAAATTTATATTGACATAAAAGGTTATCACAATGCATAACAATTACACATAGTAGTTTACTTATACCAACCTCCTGCACCTGAAACTATGGGGGAAGAGCATCACGCAAAGAAAATAAATTGTTTTAAGAAGTTTTTTCAATCACGGAGTTAAATGGTCCATATATCTCGTTGTCACAGAAAGGTCGCCTTGGCAGTATACTGTACATGCATCAATAACCCTTGAACTGATATTTGGATTAAATGTCATTAATACAAGTCACTTCACTAATAAAACACATATGTAGTTTGTTGTTAAGGCATCACAAAATGCTGTGCAACTCCAAACAGCATGCTATACACCAGCTTCCAGATTCTCAAAGACTCGGATGTTGAATATTGCAAGGACATAGAGCGACTGACTTCAGCTAATGCACCAAAATAACATTCAACACTGCATTAGTATTTCAATGACATTATTTTATTGAGATGGACTGTACTTATATAGCTAACCACAGTTTGGGCACAAAATTTGAAAGTAATTTTTGACAATCCATACCCAGGACTATCGAGAATCAGTGCAGCTGTGAATGCATTGTGTCAGAGTAGGTGAAAATGCAGTTTGTCTCTCTTGTAAGTGCTGTGTGTCAGTGCAGTGGTACAAGGGCATGCATTTCATTCGCGTAAATGGTGCTGCGAGCCACAATTTATTCAACAACGCACTGATACCTACTTGAATATTATTTTTTATATAATTATAGCTACATTAAAATGCAGATACTTTACCAAGAGGCTCTTTATACAGTATATAATCCATGATAAACTTCTCTTGTATACAGTATTTGGTTAAATTCTTTAAGTTATGTATCTACTAGTCATTTGGTTCATGTGTAAACACCGTGTTATTAAGCATACAGTAGTAGTTGTACAGCTTCTGAATGACCGCTATAAACCTACAGTACTCTTCAAGTATTAATATATATCCTTTCTCCTTCATCTTCCACAGCAAGACTAGTAAATGATAGTGTTCCAAAATTCTGGCTCAATGTTAAAAACTTATTTATTTTCAGTGTTATAAGTTTCTGACAGTAATAATGGGACTCTAAAGTCTGAGAACTTAGTTTACATCTAATGTTTAGGGTATTGATTAATGGTTTACTTCAGCAGTAAAGGGACCTGTGTGTTGGTAAATTATGGTTACTTTGAGTGTATAAGGAAGCCTTAAAGCAACTCTTAGTATTTAAAGACACAGCCAATTGTTTTACTCTTCATTTACTATCCACCTCCCACACTGATCACTTACCAGCAGGCGTCTCAGGTATTACAGCATAGACTTCCGCTGGTTTCAGGCCCGTAGCCAGGGGAGTTAATGGACCATTAACCAGAACATTCCCAAGGTAGTTAAGGAGCTTTTGTGCACGATTTTGGGATGGCTGAAACTGGAAGAGCTGAGGGTTCTCATCAATGAAGGTGGTGTCGATAGTGCCATTGAGGAATTTCTGGTTCTCCAACACATTGAGCAAGAATGGGATGTTGGTCTGGCAAAAGAGAAAGAAATTTGTGAAAAAAAAGTACCGGTAATAATAATAATGGCTTATACTCCAGCAATTAAAAAAAAAAAACTTATATTTCATCCTATAGACCTAATAATACAAAAAAAAGACAGGATGTAGTCTGCTTCCCCATCTGGAGTATTTCCCTGAAATATGCTAGGGACTGTCAGTTGATTGAAAATGTCCAAAGGAGGGCCCACCAGACTAGTGCTTGCACTGCGGCCTCTTAGCCACCCTGAGAGATTAGAGCGCCTGAAATTGCCTAGCTTATACTACGGACAGGCGAGGGGAGATCTAATTTGAGGTGTACAAGCATCTCAAAGGGCACTACTCAGTCGAGTGCCCTTACCTGGAGCTGGTGGACACTCGCCCCACAAGGGGTCACAGCTCAAGACCGAAGAAGCCGCAAGCCCAGAAAACTGTGAGGGGTAACTTTTTCTGAGTGCAAGTTATGAACTCATTGAACAATCTGCCAGAGAGTGGTGTGATGGCACCAAGAGTGAGCTCTTTCAAGACCAGACTGTATACGGTAAGCACTGAAGCAGGTTCAGATACATTCAGGAGCCGGTGCATGCCCAGTACTTGCCAACAGTGCGTAACAGAGACGTAACCGATCGCCCAAGTGGCTAGCGAGCCGATCAGTGGTGAAGAGGATAAAAGTAAAAGTAATTATTCACCTTAACACCACGTATTCTGAATTCACGCAGAGAACGATTCATCTTGGCAGCCGATGCATGCAAGTCAGAAGCCCTCGAGATCACTTTCATGAGCAGGGAGTCATAGTACGGAGAGATGATTGCTCCAGCATAAGCAGAAGCACCATCGAGGCGAATACCCATCCCTTCACCACTTCGGAACACCTGGAGAAAGCAAGAAAACATTATACTGTACATACTGTAATAATAATAATATAATAATAGTAAAACATTAGTCTAGCGAGTCATGCTGGATAATGCTCCAAGAATGATGTGAATCCACAAGGATGTTGAGGAGTGATCAAAATTGGAAAACAAATATACAAAGAGATGATTAGTCTAGTTTTGTAGCAGTGTGTATGAAAGGAAAAAATAATAATGCTTGAATAAATCATTCGATTTTTTTTTCTTAATTTTTATATCCACCGTTTGTCAGACTACTAGCAGTTTGGGCAGTTGGTTTGTTTTTTGTTGCAACATTCATTGTCCAGTGTTGTGTCTGTTGTTAAAATGTTTAATCAAGAAGTAATTTTGTTACTTCATATAATATTTATTTATTTTTTTATTAAAAAATAAAATCCCAATGGCTTCCTACTGCTGTTGCTGTCAGTTACATGTTTCAACCAAAACTCTTACACAATACAAGTATTCATTCTGTCCTGTTTTACCTGAAATTCATTTTATTACCAATATTAAAGCCTTACCTCTAATCTACCAGTGTCTGGCTGGAAACTTTTTGCAGGATCTTCTGTTGTAACGCGGCACTGAATTGCACATCCCTGTGGAATAATCTTTTCTTGAGTCATGCCAAGCTCTGGGAGAGTCATACCTTCTGTAATGCGAATCTGAGATTGCACCAAGTCGATCCTGAAATATAAAGGTAAAATAGTCAGCACGAAGCAATCATTCCTATGCATGACAATAGATTTATAATCAGTATTTCCCCTAACTACTCACCCAGTGCTGTTCCTATCTGTACAACTGATGTGTGAGTGGTAACCAATGTTGGTTCCCTGATTTTACAAGTGTTGCCATTTTTGGCATGACATGAAAAAATAGATTTCTTTCAAATTTCATACAAATGTATTGCTGTATGTGCTGGTTAAAGATCTGGTTTACAAAACTTAATATGCTAGTAATTAGCATTAATTAAGGAGTCCTGAAATAACTAAATTTTAGAGCAATTAAAACATTAATTATGCTGTGCCAGCAAGTTTCAAGTCACCTTTATATAAACTTTCTCTGTGATATAGGCTAACTTTACTATTTAAACACACCAAATTGCAGCAAAATTTCTAGAAGTTAATATTACCATAGACAAAATCCATCTGTGACTCACCCGGTTATCTCCTCTGTGACGGTGTGTTCTACTTGAAGGCGAGCATTTACTTCTATGAAATAATAATTCCCTTGGTTATCCAGTAAAAATTCTACCGTACCAGCATTCTCGTACCCCACACTTTTACATAGTTTTACTGCATCAGCTGCCATTGCCTCACGAATCTGTAGAAATATTACATATTGAAACATAAATCCAAGCCAGGAGCAACTATTAACACCCATAATATCACAGGAAAATGAAAAAATATTTCAAGTAAATAACAATGAAGTAGATACTAGATATTCCTGCATGACCATATGTTGATAACTACTGTACTACCATTTACTAATTAAGTGGATAAAACCAAAAGATCAGAGTGTGGTAAGTCAGGTGAAATTTTCTCCACAGATCTCATTTTCAGCACATCTTAAAGTACTGTACTTCATTCATATTATACATTTCTCTAACACAGTCTTTTTTTATTCTTTGTTTAGCTTTCTTTCCTTCCAAATGTTCACTCTTAAACAAATTGGTGTCACAAATTCACTACTGCACAAAAAATGAAAATACAGATAATTAATCTATCAATATCTCACTTACCCTTTGGTCAAGGTTAGGGGCAGGGGCGACCTCCACCAGCTTTTGATGTCTACGCTGTACTGAGCAATCACGTTCGTAGAGGTGGACCACATTGCCTGCTTTATCTCCCAAGACTTGAAGTTCGATGTGTCGAGGCTTCTCAATGAATTTCTCAATAAACATAGCACCATTTCCAAATGCCGCTTCAGCTTCAGAAGATGCTCGATTAAAACTTTCTTTTACTTCCTATGAAGATTAAAAGGAAAAAATATTAGGAGTGTTAGGATTACATTACTTAGCCACTTGTCTCCAATACAGTGCCTGATACAACACGATTTTAGTGGCATAGGATGGTACTCAATATTCTTAGTGTATAGTATTGTTTTCCTTACACCTGCTGTAAGTTAAGTCACTCTTATCCGCCCCTGTAACCCATATATGCCTCACTACTACTACCCACTAACATCCTTCTAAGTTAGGATGCAAACATCATCCTTTTCAAATTGTAGGCAAGTCCCAAAACAATTACACACATATAGCCATTGCATGATAATTTACCTAATATATATACTATGTATAAAGTTATGAAACATAATCACTCTCACACATAGACCTTCTCCCATGTAGAAGTTATTAACCTAGACTACTGTATATCTTTTACCAAAAGCAGGAACTTACAGCTAACTCCCGAACAACTCTCATACCGCGCCCTCCACCTCCATACGCTGCTTTTAACATGACAGGGAGACCGTATTTGATGCAGAAGTCGTATGCTTTATCAGCTGTTATAACTGGATGGTCGGTTCCAGGGACCACCTGCACACCTGATGTATTAAACAACATATATGAGTGATCGTATAGCATCACATAAGACTTCTGCCTGATATGCACAATCATGTAATTATGATGACTGATATACTAATACAGTACTGTACGGTACTTGAAATAATAAATTTAAAAGATTATGCCATAGTACATAATAACTATAAAAGAGACTCAAATAGATAAAATAAAAGTATAAAGGTAAAATACATACAATAAAATCTATTGTTTTTATATACTGTATAATGTATACTGTGTACAGTAATATCTCAGTTAGCCGGAATCCGTCAAACCCGGAACTCTCCGACAGCCGGAATTTAATTTTCTCGGAAAATCTTTCCCAAAGCCGAAATTTTCTGGAAAATTCTGGCTTTGGCAACGACTTTCAGAGAGGCACATTTTCTGGAAATTCCAAGAAAATTTTTCCGTTACCCGGAAAATTCTGGGGATGAGGGATATTTTTCCGGTTTTGAGAGATGATGTAATGGGCAATTTCTGGAACTTCCGAGACCATTTTTCCGTTACCCAGAAACTTCCGGGGATGAGGGTTTTTCCAGCTTTGAAAGATTCGGTTCGTTACCTGGAAACCTCTCATTCCCGGAAGGGCTCTGCACCAACTGTTCTGGCTAACGGGGATATCACTGTATATAAAATCTATACTGATAAACATAAGAATAAATAAATCATTTACCTGCAGTGTGTATTTAAAATGCACATCTTCCCATTCACTGAAAATCTTATATTTCCTTGTACAAATGAGACCAATTTGCTTACATAATCCAGTAATTTGAAAAAAAAAACCATCAATGTTAAGTTCTGTAGCAAACAGAGTATAGTACTTTCAGTGCTCTAAAAGATCTTGACCATCTAGTTATATGAACAAGGGCTGTAATGAAAATAGTTTGGTCCAATTCTATATGCAAAGTTTCCACTAAATTTTGTACAGCATTTTGACATTAGGCCCAAAGAGGATATGAAGAATTTAGGGCAGTGGTTCCCAACCTTTCTCATTTCAGCGCCCCCCGTCCCCCTTTCATGGCACAGTGGTGGCAAATACCCCCTGGGGGGGGCACTACTGCCCAGGTTGGGAATCACTGATTTAGAGTGTGGGGGATTCAAGGGGGCCATGATCTATTAGGACAGGATGGGACCAACTAGTGACCAAGTGATGAAATGAATCGCTATAATTGTATTTAATTAAGGATGAACTAAGGCCGAGTTGAAAAGTTTTCTTTTATCAGAAAAGTGATTGTTCCAGGAAGAATAAACTTAAACTGACTAAGACAACAGATGAATAAGACAATTTGGCTACAAGCTACCTAGTTCATAAAGAAATCTCTACATATGTAAATGTGGCAGTCTTATGATCATTATATACATAGTTCAATATCTTACCAGCATTAATAGCCATCTGTCGAGCAACCACCTTGTCGCCCATCTTCTGCACCACCTCTGGTGATGGCCCAATGAAACGCAAATTATGATCGAGACAAGCTTGTGTAAAATCTGATCGTTCAGAAAGAAAACCATACCCAGGGTGGATGGCATCTACATCATTCTCCTGGAAATTTAAGATAAATATACATAAATGAACAGCAAAAGAGGTCTGAAATATTCTTAAATTCTACCAAAACAGAGTAAAAAATATTTCAATTAATTCTATAAAATAGTTTATTAACTTAGTTCAAAATAGGAAAAAATAACCAACCAATCATTCAATTCAATAAGGATACAGTACAGTAGATTCTCCCCTCAACCTGTTGACCACAAGTGGTCTGCACAGGACATGGTATCCTACCACGAGAGGGTCAGATGTTCCAAGACTTTCATATTTTTATGAACAGGATGTACAGTACTTTACTTAAAAAGTTACTTTCGTTTGTAATACAATAAATATTTGCTAGCAAATTATGAATATATTTCAATTAAAATTACAGGGGGTACATATATCACAAAATCTTTATATAGAGAAAAATCATGAGAAGTACCGTAAAAACACTCACCTTAGCCACCCGAATAATTTCTGGAATGCTCAGGTAAGCATCAACAGGTGGTAGGCCTTGTCCAATAATGTAGGATTCATCAGCCTTTTGTCTGTGCATGTGCATTTTATCTTGCTCACTATAGACAGCAACAGATTTAATCCCCAACTCAGTACAAGCCCTGAAGACTCTGATAGCAATTTCACCTGTATAAGAACCTCAGATTTAATATGTTAACACGGATATTTACTGCATAGTGTATAAATTTAATAAATATTTTCAGCTTATCTAATACATTATTCCCAACAAGATTACCTTGCACATTCACATCATACTGTATCTTATCATCGTTTATCTCGATGTATTAAGTAAAACTAAATCAGTGTCAAATTTAATCAATCTTTACATTACTATGGAGGTAAACTACATCAGTGTTTCATTTCATCAACATTGATCTGAATTAAATAAGGAAAACTACATAAGACATCTCACCGTATTTAATTAAAAATATTAAAGAAACGAGTGTTTTTAATTTATCTACGTTCATTTTACTATATTAAGACGTGTTAAGACTGCTAATATTATCCCCTTCACTACATAGACGCCACTTTTATTATTTTATATGGCTAACACTAACCATTTTCTTTTTAGCTCATAGGGGGTACTGTAGACAAGGGGTTAAAAAACTAATGCTATCCAAGTATTCTAACAAACAAAGGACTGACAAGGAAGTTATCATCAGCTGTACCCCAAGTCTTCCCATAACTACAGTACCATGACTTTATGAACATTCTTCTTTCCAATCAAGCAGTGGAATCGAGGACAGTACTGTACAGGGTTTCAAAAAAGCCCAAGACAAATATCAAGAACAATGGCTGCCTGCCACTGCCATGGCCACCTCTAGTTGGGTGTCTATTAGGGAAAATAAGGCAGGTAAAATGATAAAACTCAATACAATCAGAATTAAAAAGCCCAATAGCTAATGCCGATCAAGATACAGGGGTACAGTATTATATTTTTCCTAGCATGAATTTTCTTCTCTATAAAAAAAAATATATATATAAATATAAATATATATATATATATATATATATATATATATATATATATATATATATATATATATATATATATATATATATATATATATATATATATATATATATATATATATATATATATATATATATATATATATATATATATATATATATATATATATATATATATATATATATATATATATATATATATATATATATATATATATATACAAATCAACTCTTTAAAACTTTATTTAAATATACATGCAAATATTATTTATAATTTTTAGCCCATAACATACCCATGGTTGATGGAACTAATAAAATCTGCAACCCCTCAACCAGCTTGTACTTCTCTTCATGGGTGACTAAGCCTGGCAAGATCTGGGGATGGCCCTACCACACCAAAAAATTGGAGTACTGTACAGTATTTAAAAGGAGTTGTCCAAAAAGAAATAAAAGTTTAACATTTACTTAAAAATACCTCTCAAAAATTCCTAAACCCAAGCAAATGCCAATTACTGTATTTTACATTCTTTTCATATTCATATGGCCATAAATAACAAAATATATAAGAAAATTATAAACCAAACTAATTTATGATTTTGAGGGAGTTTCTAGTGATATTTAGAACACACACTGCTTCTTAATATAGATGAAATAATCATTTCAACTGATCTTCAAAGAAAAAAATTAAATAAATAAAAAAGAATAAGCCATTTCCTTTATTTATTTACTTTTTATTATTCTGTCTACCTGATTTCATCCCCTTTAAAACACAACTGAAATAATGGTTTACCTCTATTTGCAACAAGGACAGACTTGATGGGTTTATATTCTATACTAGAAGAGGAATGTGCCACTTGTATAATACGCAAGGCCTGAGCCACTGTGTGGCGAGGGTGAGCCACATGATGTGTCGCCGTCACCCCCAACCGGGCCAGGTGAGCTCCCAACATCTTGCTTTTGTCGAGAAAAATTCAAATATCTGTATAAATGGATAAATATATTAGTTCACTGTCTTATGTAAAAGGTAAATCACAGCTATAATAAAAATGAATCACTTGAAAGAGACCTTTTTAGTTTTATAATATTTTATAGTGTTCATACCTGGAGCTGGCAGATGCCTGCCCCATTAGGGGGTCACAGCTCAAGGTTGACAAAGCTACAAGTTCAGAAAATTGTCATGGTAAACTTTTTGGAGTGAGAGTTGTGAACTCTTGGGACATTCTGCCAGAGAGCGTTGCGACGGCATCGAGTGCGAGCTCATTCAAGACCGATTTGACCATCACTGGTGCAAGTACAGATACATTCTGGTGCCAGTACATGCCCAATACTACACAGTACTTGCCAACAGTGAATAACAGAGACGTGACCAATTGCCCAAGTGGCTAACAGACCGATCAGTGGTGAAGAGGACAAAGTAAAGTAAGCTAGGGTGTTAAGAGAGCATTACACATGATACCAAGATGGCCCATCTTCAATGATACAGACTTGTGAAGGAATGCCAGCAAGGGGTTATGCTTGAACCATGGGTTTACGTTCTATAAAATCAGCCATATAGTCCACGGTTACTCCTCCAAAATATAACACGTCATAACCACTGCAAATTCAAATTAATGATGTTGGTGTCAAAATTTGGGTTTACTCTTCTCATTACCTAATTATTTCCTCCTTGGCTGGGCCTGACACACCAGTACTGTAGTCTATGAAGTGTGGCCTTTAATGGGGAGGGGCATTTTTAACCATGTAGCTGACACTAACATACATCTGATCCTTTACTTTGACCATACCTGTGACTCTCCTGACATATACTGTACTTAACTAGCCATACCCGTCATGTATTGTACTTAACTGGCCATACCTCTGACATATACTTGACAAAATTAAGTCACTTTCCTTGGTTGATTCAAAAAGCACAGTACACACACGTAAGGTACACAGTTCAAATTGGTTTAAAACTTGGAAACGTTCACTTACAGCAGAGGTGGTGGGTTGACGCCTCCACTTGACGTTGAGCGATGACACAGATAACTTGAGCTTATCTTTGAGGTTTTGTGGTGGAGGGCTCCTTCAGTTTTCCTCTAATAATTGTGTGTTCCTTTCCTGAAATAAAATTCATAACTATTAATATTAAAGGCGAATGTCTGAATGCAATTTAATAAATCAATGTTTCAAATTTTACTAACATTAATAAAAAATATAATCTGTAACTGATGACTAGTGCTGGGAGTAGTGGCACTATTAGTAATGACGCTACATAATGGAGCAACTTTTTTTGTAGCAGTTGCTGTAGTACTTTATACACTGATCGACCTGTTAGCCACTTAGGTGGTCTGTCATGTCTCTGCTATGCACTGGTGGCAACAAGGGGGTTTTATGAGAGATGACAGCATTAGCCGTGGACAGAGAAGCCATTCTTTGCACATGGCGGCCATGATAGTATTGGCAAGATTGGCTTTCTGGGTTATATTCTGTGCATTCAGACAATGCTCAATCTGTATGCCCAATTAATTAAATAACCACACTTTAGTTTCTTTATAACATACAAAATCAGCCAAGATCATTTTAATTTGTTTTTGTCAAAGTGAAAGGCATGGGAGGTTGCAATAACAATTAAGGGCAGATCCAGGAATATCAAAGGGGGGGCGAGCACAGCTCGCCCACCCAGCTGGGGGGTTTGGGAGAATTTTCTTTTTAAATCTGACCAATATCATACAAACGTCTATGTAGCAACTACACAAAACAGAAGTCGTTAAAGGCAAGCATTGGCAGACATAAGGAGACAGGACGGAATATAAATGGAACTACAGTATGTATTAGCCCGATATAGCTTGTGGTAAGAATGTACAGTACGGAACTGACAATGGGGCTCTTGACAGTGGTTATACTTAGACCATTGTGCTTTACAAAAAGCTAGACTAAGACGTCATATGAAGTTATAAATCACACATTGTGTGAAAGGCACCTGAAGTTTTAAAGTGAAAGTAGCCTCAAGCACTACATGCATATTTATACCATACCGGTACAGTTTGTTTCATTCTTGAGGAAATAAATACTTTAACCTCTTCACCTCTGGTCAGCTCAGAAACCAGTTGGTCTGTACTCTATTATGCACTATTGACAAGTACAATAACGGTACGGACTCTTGAATATACCTGTTGGTCAAGTCTGGTTTTAGATAAGCTCAGAGTTCAATTTGTCTGTTGACAAATTACAGAAATATTCTTAGGTTAAATTGCATGGCTTGGATTAGGTTACAAGTCCGGTATTTTGGATTGGGTTACAAGTCCGGTATTTTGGATTGGGTTAGGTTATTTGGATAAGCTCCGGTTAGGTTATTAGTTTGGGGTTAGATTAGGTTACTTGGTTTGGGCTGAGATGAGTCTTTATTTTTGGGCTTGGCCTGGCGGGGGAGTTGGCAAGAAGAAATATATATATATTTTGTTTTAATGGCTCCCTCTTGCTGCCAAAGAACATTTAAGGAGAGAATAACACGATTGTGAGCTGTGGTTCCTGGCGTTGGCGACCTGGCCAGTCATGAACGAGATTACCCCTTTAACTCTCCCCCAGCCAGCCGCCAGTCGTGTGGGTGGCACTAGGCCAAACCACCGACAACCACTCACATCCCCCCCCCCCTCTTGACCACGTTGGATACCAGTGCAAAAAATAATATGAAAGCAGGCAAACGAGAACAAAGAAAGGACATTATTATACAGTAATTTTAACTCCAATATTAATGTCAGTAGATTAAGGGTTGCTCAGATAAATCAGTCTACAACTATGCCAAGGTCCACTCCAGCATCACAGGGTTAATATTATTATACCATTAACTTTTACTCCTTGATCGCTACTCTGATTTTTTTTCTTCAAATAACGAATCTGCATACACGTTAAATGATATTGGTGATAACAGTATTCAGCCTTATTAGTTTGCTAGTTCCTTACTAACACTGCAGTCCTGGTGCTAGTGAAGTTTATTTTTGTAGATATCAAATATTTAGTATACAGAGAAACATCCTTACCCAGAAATATAAATATAGATTAGTGCATCACAACTCCTGGATGCACGGTCGGCAACATGCATTTAAATATTCCCTTCCTACGATAATCTGATAAATATTCGGGGTTCGGAATATCAAAAGTTTACAAGATGAAATATTCCTTGTAAATGAAGTTGTAAGGAGTGAAACTAACTGGTTAACTTAAAGCACAACAAATGACGTCCCAAAACAGGATAATAAAATACAACACAGCCTTAACTCCATACGATAACTTGTACCAATTAAAAGACAAATTAAAGAGACTCCCCTAATCTAAATTGTATCCCCCTCACGGGTATTACATTAAATAAAGGAGTTAGGTGCCGGTTAGTACCAGATTTGTTTTATAATGGTATTTCGTGCTTCAAGTAAATCAAGTTAGGAGTATCCATACTTCAGTTACCGGTACCAGGAACACAATAAAAACCATTATGAAACGAGTCCCTGGGCATCACGACAACAGTCTTGCTATTGCGCACATCACCACGCAAACGACTGCATGTCAGCCATTTACTGTAATTCATAAAGGGTTACAGGATAAACAAACTTATCAACGTCTGGCAGAACTTGGTTGCCATGGCGACAAGGTACCAGCACTGTGGGCCTCCAAGCACCCAGCCACACCAGCAGACATCTGACCTTGAATGTGTCCACAAGACTGCCACACTTCCACAGTCCACACACATACGTGCGTACAGTACTCACTTACGCACATCTAACCAATCTCCATCCTGCATGCACACACACACACAGAGTACCGTCATTAATTACATTCCATCACACACACACACACCTTCACTTATCCAACTTCAACCTAACTCAACAGGTTCACTTTAACCGTACCTGGTATATATACACGACACATTTACCAACTACGCAGAACAAAACACATCTACTACCAAACTAAAAACATTTATTAACCTACAGATATACGTACCCATCCCCACCACACAAAGACAATCCAAACCCCTTTACATAGACGTACTACACACACAACAATTATAAAACCATGTCGTGTGTTGGAATTGGTTCTCCTTCAAAGAAAATAAGTGCAGGAGACATGAACAATGGTGCTTATGATTTTAATTTTAATTTTAAATGACGGACGCGAGGCAGTTCTACTTCACACACACACACTAGACGTCACTCTTGCGATATTCACAACTTTCGTATTTATGATATTTACATATCTGAAGTTTTTGAAGTGGAATTTTCAACCGCCCTGTCCATCTCCCCTACTTACTCAGGGTCATGGCTTGTACAGTGTGTTGGGGCGGGGGAGGCAACGGGTGACCAGTAAACACAGTAAACAACAATATGTAAAATGTGAAAATGTGGTGATAACCGAGAGATGATACAGTGCTTACATGTTCCTCTGAGATTAAATTGGGCAGCATTTAAGTACAAAGGTGAGGTCACAGGTGAGAGCAGAGAACTCGTCTCCCAGGGTCACTAGACAGGGGGGGGGGGTATAAACTAACACAGTCAGTTACGGTGTGTAGTTATCTAATCAACCCGCTTCCCAGCCCAGTTCGTGGCCTTCATCCCCCGCTTACTCACCATACAGAGTCCATATTAACGGTGTCTTATTGTCTAGCTTGCATCACCTTAAGATTTCCTCGTCCCCTACGTATTTCACCTGAAGATTAACCACCCTAACACTAACCTAACTTTCACTAAGAGGGATTAACTTTGTTCAAAACACACCTGTTATATTATATCGTTGTCTTACACCAGGAATTAGCAAAATCCCCATTAACTTAATATCCTCGTTTAATTATAACTTGCCAGAGCACTTTATACCAGTCACGTGATAAACTGTTAAGACGGCAGGTGTAATATAAAAAATCAATCACCAACTTACATTAACTAGTACAGTAGTAGAAACATCGATGGCTATATAACGTCATCTTGATCCACTGAACGTTAAGTATTTAGCTGGTGAAGCTCTCACTAAGAAACATCCCCAGGCGGAAAACATTCTTTACCAAAATGTCCGAGAATGAAATGCTTAATACAACCACAGGTAGTTCACGTGACAGTTATAGACCAGACAATGACCTGAATTCACGTAATCAAGGCGAGCAATATAACAAATACTTGTTACTCCTACCTGACAATAAAACTCCAATCTTATGACATTTGCCAACTGACAAACTGAACACAATATTAAATTAATTATTTGATTTGCGTTAAACATTCCAGTAAGCACAATTAACAATCCCAGTAATCCAGTTCAAGTCTGTCTTTTGTTTACGATCAGTTTATAACAATATGACTGACAGAGGCCAATGTTTCCACGAAGGGTGGTGCAGGCGACGCACGTGGCAGACCCGTGACACTAAATCGGTCACCAACCCACCACGTTACTTCAGCCTGCCTACTCTCCTCACCACCCACCTCTCTACGCTCCTGGGGCCAACATTACAATTTCAGTGCTCCGCCCAAATAAACCTTCAACCTTAGCTTGGCTTATCAACAGTTGGTTCTCACTGTGACAACTGGCTAACTTACTCGCCTTATTGTACCTGATGTCATTAGTAGTCATCACGGACCCCACGCCTTGCTTATTTTACCCCATTAAACACTTACGCTACTTAGGTTAGGTTCGGGTATTTCAAGGTCAGTAAAGATTGACCTCGGGGTAGTTAATCTTGAAGTGATCATACGTTATCACCCCACCCCCACAAAGCAACCACCCCTCACACAGGACTTTCACCAAAGCAAGGAAATAATTTGCGAAGAAATATATTAAACTGGTACAGTATCAAAGTAAGAAACATGACAAGTTCTTCTGTATACACTTTACTATACCCACCACAAATGCATATACAATTCAAAAGAACTTGTACAATATGTTTATTTTTGTTATGAAACCTGTCAGCATTGGCATTACATCACTGTGAGGCGTGACTTAAGGTGCCCCTGACAGCAAGTGGGTATGTACTGTAGGATGATTCCAACATTATAGTTCAATCTCAATTCTCAAGTTCTGCGTCACACAGGTTTTTATAAATCGGTAAGCTCAAGATTCTGTGATGTTTGAACACACGGGATGGGCTG